GAACCACAATCAGTATGCTAATTTTTGGGGTTGGTTTCTATGGTCCTCAGGCCGGCTGCTAGATTCCAAATACCTCTGCATCGCATGGCGCAAAGCCATGGCTGGGGCCAACAGGATGTAGCATAGCTAGCGGCCCAGATTTGGGTCTGCCAAGTTACAGGACACCCGCTGAACGTGATCGAATGCCTCAATGTGCCGCCCCAGATTTAGGTGGATAGGTCGAAGATATGCCCTGCGCTACAACCAAGATCAGTCAAACTATATATATATAATAATATAATATATATATACATATGTATTAAATTATATATTCAAAGATGTACTGCCTGACTAGGCAACGGGCGGCTATTGAGTCTCGACCCGTGTATGTAGGATGGACATAGAGGCTATATGGTGGTGTTGAGCTATCATGGACCGGGATCAGTTGACTACACTGGACAGAACTGCTCCGCTGCATGTAACGATAATACTATATCGGTGTTCTATTTTACTTAACTATTTGTTGTGTTCCATGTGCTTTCATCATTACTGCCTCGATATATAATATCATTAAGTGTTCTTTCTTGTGTTCATCAAACTTTCAGGAACAAAAAACTACATAACTACACACAACATGGTAAGAAATCCACACATACAGACCAACATGAATGTGCAGGTTTGCAAGACGGCGCAACCTGCAGTACAACCTCTTGGGACCCATCCCTGTAGCATCCTGCCATCTTGGCTCAGGAACACATTCATGACCACGCTTGAATGTGCTTGCCTGGCGGGGTAGGCACATCAACCATGAACTTAGTTGGCACCGTTCCAACATCATTCTTTCCTCTACATCCTCTGAAGTTGGGGGTAACTAGCATTGAACTTCCACCAAATGATGCTTGAACTTGAGCACCCCAAAATCTGGGAAATATCTCCAAACCTCATCAAACCTCTGGAATCAATGGGCTCTATGATGAATTTTGGATGGCTTGCTGACGCCTCATCATGGCGCCAGGTGAACATGGGGTCCCAAAGGTGTTTTCTATGTTTTTTCTGTTGGGTGTCCATCATCAAGGGAAAAACATATCCAAAATTCACGTTCGACTGACGAAAATCACTATCATATACTATCATATTATGGTTGGGAACTCGAAGTAGCCCCTTTGCTCCCCCTTTCAGCCCTTTCATATAGGGAAACGCTCCTGGATACTCATGCGCCACGCATCCCGCAGCATCAGCGGATCTGCGCCACCAATTACTGTAACCGCCCAGTGGTGTTTCACACAGGAGCCGAAAAAATATTTGGCCAACTGACTAACTGGTTTTTGGGGCTTTCCTAAACTGGCATATCCCCATTTTTTTAGATGTTTTAAGGTCATTTCTCAGTGGAAGTCACTAATGGATTTGAGGTACAAACTTTCGGTATACATGTGCCACGCTCAAAACATGGAGACACCGGGTATGCTCATCGGACAATCAACAGAATTTCCTTCAAATGGGTATGGTGACTACTCTTAACAGATTGATGACGATTCCCCCAGCATAGGCAATTTATCAAATGATCAACTGACAAGAACGATGATAAAGATAAACTTTGGTAATATAATTGCCAATGTTTTTGGATAACTATACTATACCATCCAAATTGTGACTACTATACCATCCAAATTGTGACTGCACACTATCTCTATTAAGAATATTCATATGTCTTGGGTAAGGGGTAAGTCTCGGCCATCGCACATATGGATGATTCACACACCAGAAACACCCAGAAACCATCCCTTTCGCCTGATATCAAGCCGGTCGCCATCGACAAAGTTGATGTCAAGCGTCTTCCTTTCCTCAAAGCGTTCGAGGAGTGTGGTCATGCAAGGCTAGTTCATACTAGTCCTGACTCTTTTGACATGGTTGGATTGCTGCTGGATCCAGATGTTCTTCCTTTAAGAAACATGGTGTTGCAAACAAAATATGCGACGAAACATGCACTATCTTCTTCCTATGGTCCTATAGTTTGACCGTCGGATATGTTTAACATTTGATTATCACAGTTGCCTGGCAATTTCCTGACCTACCCTACTCGGATCTACTTACGATGATGATGGCCAATGACATTCATGATGTTTGAAAACAGTAGCTAAAGCACCATCCAAGTAGGTGAATGTGCCGGAATGCAATGCATTCCAACGCATTGCGAATTCAAATTAAATGCAGGTGCACGTATGCACATTGAAATAACGTAATGCAATGTAACGTAGTTGTGTGTGTGTAATGTAATGTAACGGTGTGTGCTGTAAAATAAAGTGTCCAGTAGGGCAAGGTAATGCACTGTATCTACGTATCATTGAATCCTACACGCTTGCATTTGCCATAATAGGGGGGGGGCGAACCTTTGATTGCTGTCTCATGCCTAGCTAAACTGTTTGTTGGGCGGTGTGAGCTATCTTTGACTAAGTCTGCATGTGTTTGTTTTTTGTAATGTCACGTCACGTCAGGTCACGTCACATCCATACGCACGTAATGTATGTGTGTATATGTTTGTATGTCATGTTGTGTCACGTGATGCTTTGCATTGTCTGTCATACACTGTTATGTAATGTTATTCATCGTGTTGTCTGTATTGGTGCAATGTAAGGTAATGGTATGGCATGCATGGTGTGGCATGCATCTATGTACGCCCCAAAACTCTTTACTGATACAGGCATATACACGCACACAGCTGATCACACACGGTTCCCCCACCTTGGGAGTGTTCCAAACACCGACAAGAATCGCCCTCATCGCATTCTCCTTGCCAGGCATCATTCAAATACACCTGGCATGTTGTGCTCATGTGCCCGGTGATCCAACATGGCTGGGGAAATCCCCTGCAAATGGGACATTCATCTTCTGAATGGAGGACTTTCCAGCAAACAATGTTTGATTGCGTTAAACGGTTTTTTGTTTTTTAAACATGGTCTTTTGTGTTTTCTCCGCCAAAAGAAAAAAACAATAAATTGTTGATATGTTAAATCACGGGACATTCTGTTGGATGCCTGTGAAACAGCCAAATGGGACAAAATACTGTGCAAGCACACATGGCCAAAAGCCAGAAACCGACCGTTGAAGGTCCCTAAAGGGCATCTCAGCGGTTCTGACCTGAATGGAGTGTGCAAAATAAAAACGGACGAAGCAGGAAAACACGTCAGCTGGAAAACCAAAAAGGGTCCCGCAACGCCACCAAGGGCCACAGCAAAAGGTGAGAAGGGCCCAAGGCAAACCCCTAGACCAATTACTTTACTTCGAGTGACCCCCACCCTGACCCTAATTTGTCAGAGTTTCTGACATATCATCTGACCCTAATTTGTCAGAGTTTCTGACATATCATCTGGATATATATATATATATATTATATGTATGTATATATGTATGCATATATATATGTATAAAAATATAAATGTGTATATATATATATATTATATGTATGTATATATGTATGTATATAATTATATATGTATATAAATATAAATGTGTATATATATATATATAAATGTAAATAACTGTATATGTGTGGTATATAAAATCCTCTGACCTCTGACATTCTATTCTGGCATTCTATCTGGCATGTATTCTGACATCCGATCTGGCATCCTTTGTGGCATCTATACTGACAGCTTCTCTGGCATTTTGTCTGGCATTTTTTCTACCATATGTTCTGATATGCGTTCTGGCATGCTATCTGGCATTCTATCTGACATTCTTTTCTGGCGTTCTATCTGGTATATCTTCGGAGATTCTTTGTGGTCGAGGTCTGGCGGGGAACACTCTGATCCGGAGCTTGCGGTGGAGGTCCGGCTGGGAACACTCTGATCCAGAGGTTGCTGTTCGGGTCCGGCAGGGACACTGCGATCTAGCGCTTGCAGATTCCCCAAGTAGTGTCGTGTTTTCCATGGGGAAAACTAAAAATCATCTGGAGATACCGTATCTTGAGCAAACCCAGGTACAGATCTCAGAAATTACCCAAAAGATCCAAACGATGATTCCAACCTACAGTACCATGGCACGTGATTCGCCTTGGTCTCTCTGAAGTTATCCGCTTTCAGGCTGCTGAAATCCAAATGAAGAACCTAGGGCTGTGGCAAACCCAACCATGCCATAATCCCTTTCTGCTGAAATCCAACTTTTAAAGAAAAATCCGACCCACAAAGCATACCCCTTGCCACTTGAAGAGGGTCTATGAAAGGACTTCTTTCACTTGGGGTGTTGGAGACTTGGGCTATGCTCCAAAGGTATGTTCAAGTCATCTCAGAAAAATGGTTAAGTTTTATCAGGCCGCCAAATGATAAAATCAGCTGTGCCTGACCAACTGGTGAAAGAAACCAGGGGTAGCAGCCTCTGGTAAAGAAGAGCTCACACTGAAGAATTTCAATCTTGTGCGGGTTTTGTCATCTACGAATCTTACCTTTTCCATTGTCAGGTTTGCTTACTGAGCTGCTTAGTGTGACTTTAACCGAAGAAAAACAGGTGCAACCTGAGCCTTGGAGGGGTCAAGGATTCTGATCATCTCAAGACTTTGAATCCCAAACCGACTGGTGTCAATCACATCCTTCGATCTATAGCATTTATTTGATTAAATTGGAGCCATTAAGAACATTCCACGGCGGCCAAACTGCACAGTTTCCATCAACATTTCAACGGAGCTGTGCACGGCAAGTTTCCCACTAGGCATTTCCATGTTGGCCCAGAACTGCCAAATGATGGTAGTTACTTTGAGGCCATTTGATTTGGCCAACTGCAAATGTATAGATGATTCACCAGGATGAAAACGCATCTCTCCAAAAAAACGCTCTAAACATCAACAATATCATTCCATATCATTCCCCTAATGTTAGCAGAAAGGCTTCTTTTGACCGCTGGAAAACCCAATTTTAAAATAGTTTAAACACATGCTGCTTCGACCTCATAAATTAGGCACTTGCTGGCATCCTGAGTATGGAATACCGCAGGAGAGAGAAAAAAAACAAGCTCTGAGGGCGGAACAAAAACGGTAATTGAATCCTCCGTATGAAACAACCCCTAAATCATATATAAAGTTATGCAAAGGAGATTGGAGGTGCACCTATCTAAAACTAATTTTTGACATGCTTCAACAATCGTTGACATATGCCTCATATGCCCTTGCCCAACAATCACACCAAGTGACACCAGACCCAACAAGGTCCATGCGGAGCTGAAAGAGGCTTCCCGTTGAGTATCCACAGAAAGTATCCGCTGGGGTCGACTGGGCGGATCTTGGATCTTGAGTCTATTCATGTTGAGAATTGACAAGTTCAGCTGATCCAGATATGGGATTAGAGAGCAGGGGATACACATTTATCGCTAAAACAAGGAAACACGTGTTTGTTCGATGACCCACGAGATTTGTGGGTGGTCGGTTTTCAGAATAATCTTTAAACACGACGGTTCCAAGCCTCATGTCGTTTCTTGTTAAAAAAAAACATGGCAACACATCCTTCAAGAGACACAGGCAAACCGGCAAACCCAAAGTTTTTCGAGATTGTGATCAAAATCCTGCATGACGAGATTAACAAAGTCAAGACTCCTCAACTGGATGGGTGGTGATTTGCTGCTTTTGACTTGGGACTTGAAGAAGACTCTGCAGTAGCATGGTTTGAAGGTGGTTGCTAACCACCCTATCCCTTCTCCCAGCCAATCGATTATTTTTACACCGAAACCCTGGTTTCTTTTATTGAAACTGCTGGTTTTGGCGGGTCCCGGGGGAAGGGAATCACATGTTGGTTGATTAAAGCCACCCATATTCTTTGAGGGAACAGCAAATTGAAAAAACACTCCAGAATGTTGTAGATGACGTTTATATGTTTATCTCGTAGATGTTTTTTGGGCACTGCACAGACAGAGGGTTTTCATTGCGTGGGATTCACAAGGACCAATAAACTCCGTGCACCAACCAAGGCCAAGGCGCCTGGCAGTCTGCATTGTCTGAGGACCAGTGATAGATCCTGGGGTCTTACGTCGAAAGTCGAAAGGCCCCAAACAAAGTGGAAAGCATATCCGAAACACCGGTCAAATTCAGGTCATGTATATCACACACATATACATATATATATATACAAAAAATATATCACACGCACACACACACACACATATATATATATATACACACATATATATATATATACATATATATATATACATATATATATTAGCTTTTTTTAAAGTCTCGTAAAAGGTAGTGATCTTGGAGAGCGTACATCTGGTGACGAGTGCAGATGAACGTGGTGACGGACGTGCGTACGACCCAGCGTACGTGTAAGCGTACGAGTGGACGGACGCGTGACGTACGAGTGGACTGTGCGTACGAGTGGACGGACGTGTGAGCGTACGTACGTGCGTTGACACGTTCACTCGTCACGTGCGCGCGCACGTACGGAAATAAGGTCGACTCGAGTCGGCCTTATTTCTGTACGTCTGAATCTTCCCAATACTAAATATGTAAGGAAAAACCGAGACGTACAGAAATAAGGCCGACTCGAGTCGACCTTATTTTCGTACGTGCGCGCGCACGTGACGAGTGAACGTATCAACGCACGTACGTACGCTCACACGTCCGTCCACTCGTACGTCACGTGTCCGTCCACTCGTACGCTTACACGTACGCTGGGTCGTACGCACGTCCGTCACCACGTTCATTTGCACTCGAACCCCCTACGTTCACCTTTTGCCTAGAGGCTTTAAAAACACCTTTTACGAGACTTTAAAAAAAGCTAACATATATATATATACATATATATACATATACATATACACACACATATATATATATGGGCAATATTTCACTAACCTGAATTAAGGCCATTTGGGGATGATTCCCCTTATTAAGCATGATTCCAGTGAGGTCGCAGTGAGGTCGTTAAAATCTACCTCTATATATTCATAATTAATCATAATTATATATATATAGCCTATAGCAATATTCCCAGGCATAGTCATTCATTCATATAGTTCAGCGTCCATCCGACTAAAAAAAACTTGCACCCGTGCAAACCCAAGCATCATATTTGCCGCGTCGCAATTCACACACGACCAGCCTGCGGCGGTGAACCCAAGCGACTCGCAAGGAGGTGTCCCACTGAAAATTGGGGTTGGCGTTTTCGGCCTCCAATTGGAGTTGCAGTCCATATATACTTGTGTTCCCTGAATTGCCATGGCGCCCAAAACACATCGATAAAGATAGGGTTTGGATGGGTTCGAAAGATTACTTGGAAAATCAAAACAAACAGGGTGAAAACAGCTACGTTGCTCAGTTTTTGGGTTAATTACATATTTCAAGGTTTTCGGGTGAGCAAGTTATTGGAGGTAATTTCAAAAGTGTTATTTTTGGACAAATTGAACACCAAGACATGCCCGGTGACAAATGGAGCAAGTCTGCATGGCGTCAAGGACATTTGCAACCCATTGTGGTTTGCTAATTTGTTGACCTGCCCAAGACTTGATGGGTTGCGGATTGACCAGTGCCACATGGCGTGCACGTGTTGAACTACTGTTGCGCTCCTATGTTTTCATTGCCTCCATAATGAAGTGTTCAGCAAGGCGCACTCTGCTAACTATGTGGTCACGGGTCCATGAGTCGCCTGGTTACGAAACCATCATTTAGGTATTTTGCCCATTGGAAATCAGACGTCAGGCAAAGGTGGCAAGTTTTCACCATCCTGAAAACTACCGCTACAATTTTTTTCCTTGCAACTTTGCCAGTTGTTTTAAGAACTGTGCTGGGCTCGGCCATTTCAGCGAACGCAGCAAAAGGAACGTTATTACGCCCCCCCCACCCACCCCCCCAACCCCCCCCAGCAACAGCGTAGCACGACGTGTTGCGTAAAGATGATGCAGCAGCGTGCAAGCGTAGCATGACGTCTTGCGTGCAAGATGATGCGGCAGCGTGCAAGCGTAACATAACACTTGCGACCAAAAGCGTAGCACGACGTGTTGCGTGCAAGATGATGCGGCAGCCTGCAAGCGTAACATAAAAATAGGTAACAAAAAAAAAGTCCAAGCGAACGCAGCAAAAGGAACGTTATTACGCCCCCCACACCCACCCCCCCCAAAAAACAAAGAAAAAGGCCAGGCGACCTGTGGACCCGCCAGCAACTATGTTACTTAGTGGGTGTGTCATCCAAGCATCTTGAAATAAACTTACTAAATGTTTAGAAACACTTGGCATTTGGTTAGAAGTCTACCTTCTAAATTTTCAAAATTAAATGTCAATGCTTCAAAAAAATCTAAATGCACATCTGCATCGTCAAGTAATTTATATAAATCACGTTGTTTGTCTTGTAAAAAACTCAAAATCCAATGTTCTACCTCTATGCTAGGCATTATTTTCGAGATTCTGATTTTTGTTTCGCATCCTATATATATATATATATAGTCATGAATAGCCCACCGCACGATGAGCACCCAAAACTTTGAACTTTCTCTTCAAAGGCGACCGAATTCATATAGGTCCCAACTTAATCCAGCTGGGGATAATGCAACCAGCTGATGAGTACAAAAACTGTGTTCTTTAAAAAATAGACATCATATTTCCATGTCGTCTCACAGCTTAAAAAATGAGTGGAGGATCAGAAAAACATTTTTCCAGATAAAAAAAATAAGACACTAGGATCTTAAAAAAATATTGCCTATTTCATCTAAATTTAGTGGTAGGTTAGGTTTATTTTTTTTTGATCTGGAAATATTTTTTCTTGATCCCCCGAGGCTAGGGTAGATCAAGCTGCTCGAAAGCATCAAAAACAAATTATTCAGTTTTTTTTTTCCCTTTTCCCTTTTTCCTTCCTTCGTTCCTCCCTCCCTCCCTCCTTCCTTCCTTCTTTCCTTTGTTCCTTCCTTCCTTCTTTTCGGGCGCGAAATTAAGTTGGCAATTTTTTTTTTGTTTTGCTATTTTTTTTTTGGTCGTCCAGGCTCCCTTCCTTGCTTTTTGCACCTAAAATCTCTCATTTGCTGCATTTTGTAGCTACTCATTCGCACTGTTCATCAATTTTTCCAGTGGTTTCATGAATTTTTCCATGGTGCTTATCGAGCTTTCCATTGTTTTCATTGATTTTTCCATGATTTTCATGGAATTTTCCAAGATGTTCATGCATTTTCCATGGTTTTCGTCAATTTTGCCATAGTATTCTTCAATTTTTCCATGGTTTTCTGCAATTGCTCTATGGTCTTCTTCGATTGTTCCGTGGTTTTCTTCCATTTGTCAATGGAATTTTCTATGTTGTTCTTCAATTTTTGTATGGTGTTCATTCATGTTTTACTGGTTTTCATTCATTGTTCCAAAGTTTTCATTGATTTTTACATTGTTTTCATTGTTTTTTTCCGAAGTGTTCATTGATTTTTGGAGATACATGATGTGCAAACTATAAACTGTAGATGTATAGAGGTATACATGCATGACTAATCATGACTATATGCATATGTAGATCAATGTATTTACAAGTGTAATTAATATATCTGCAGGGTTTGGTTTTAGGGTTTATTTAGGGTTGCTTTATGGTTTATTCTAGATTTGTTTAAGGTCTATTTAGGGTTGGTTTTAAGGTTTCTTTAGGGCTGGTTTAGGGTCTGTTTAGGGTTTGTTTAGGGTTGAATTAGGGGTTATTTAGGGATACAACATGTACATACAAATAACTATACTTATGTGGACGCATATGCATGCACATGATTATTTACAGTTTATTTTGGATGAAAGCTGTGTATATAAATATAGATACAGATATAGATACAGATAGATATAGATAGATATAGATAGATTTAGATAGAAATAGATAGATACAGATAGATCTTCCTTCCTTCCTTCCTTCATTCCTTCCTTGCTTCCCTCCCTTCCTTCCTTCCTTCCTTCCGTCCTTCCTTCCTTCCTTTCCTTTTCTTTCCTTTTCTTTTCCTTCTCTCCTACTAGTTGCTATTGTTTTTAGACCGATTTTTTTTTAATCCGGATTTTTTTTTCTTGATCCGGATTTTTTTTTAACCCCTCCCCCTTAACAAAATGCCAATGTTATACCTGGGGTCATCCTGGACCTGACCGCGCCTGCATCTGTCATGGCACTCCCAGAGCTCCAGTCATTGGGGTCCGCATCCAACCCCGTGCCACAGGTTGATTGCCTGGTAAAACTCAGGACATTTTCGGAGTGTTTTTCTTCAACAAACGGCTTTTGTTTAGGAAAAAACAAGTGTGCATTCTATTAGCGTGTATTTTTGGCAACATCTACTATACATGAACCATTGTTAAAAATTCTGTGGACATTCTATAGGTACATGTAAATATTGGTTGTGGATAAACAAGTGTCAAACCTAAAATATAGAATGAAAACAATACCAAAAAAATGCTTAGATAAATATCAACTATCTTGACCCATAATGTGACATGCTAAACGAACTATATATATATATGTATATTATGTTATATCTGCCCCAAATGTAGATATTCTGACATTGTATCGGACATATATGCTCACAGTTTATCTGACATATCTATTTGAGGTGTATATTTGACATTCTATCAAACCTATACTCTCACCTTCAGTCTACGTAATGACAAATGTTCTCACACTCTTCGATCTCTACGTGATATGTTTATCTGACATATATGCTGACATTCTATCTGACCGACATTCTGACCGGCTGTCTGAAATATATTCTAGCGTGCTTTCTGAAAGTATGTCCGACATATATTCTGACACGTCGTCTGACAGATGTTCTGACATTTTATCTGGCATCTATTCTCACATTCAACCTGCCATATGTTCGCACATTCTTTCTGACATATTCGTGTATTTTGGCATGCTGAAATACCTATACTCTGACTCTCTGTATGGAACATCTTCTGACACAAATTCTGATATTCTACCACTATCTATCACTGACATCATTATTCTATACCCATCTTCCTGACCCAGCTCAGTCCGGTGATCCCCAGAGGTGAGGAGACATCGACCAATAGGGGGAAACATACGCATTCCATTAAATATATAGACATATGTGTCATATGGTACATGTATCATAGTATAGAATAGTATAGACATATTCTAAATGACATATATGTAAATTCATTAGGTATATGTCATTTAATCTTTCATAGATCATCATCGATCCATTAGGCAAAATATGAAAAAAAACAAAGGATCTATGAAATGGTCGATTTTCTCTGAGTGAATTCGCTGTAAGAAAGACTGCGGGCACAAAGTCAGTCACAAAACTTGCGAAACATGCGCCCTCATGGAAGATATCGGTGTCTCACAGCATCCCCTTGATCCATTTGTTTAGAGTTGCAATGCCAAGTGGCCCAGATACGCCGAAAAAGAAGCTAGGAAGAAGAAGCAGGAAAGACCTGCCGGGAGCCATGGATGAACATATGATTGTAGCTATAGTAGTCGTCATCATCTGTATCCTTGCATTCCTAAAATCAAAGAACTGCGTCTAGCCAACGGCCGAATCACCCCATTGGTCATCCAGTCACAACTGAAGCCTTGGGTCATTGGGATCAAATACAGCGCCCAAAAAATACCTACATACCAATGCCAACCCTGGATGTATAAAACTCTTGGCAATGTAATTGGCGGGGAACAATTTCAGTCGCACATAATTTCTTGTTGTGGGGAACACCTCGGAACTTCTCATTTCACCAAGCGGGGTTTAACAATCTGCGGCTGACATTGCATCTGGTAGGAATGCTACAGAATCAAATGGTTCAACAACATTTCAGGTCGTTTCAGATCTTGGTTTCTGCGGATATATTGTAAGATCATTGCATCTGGTAGGAATGCTACAGAATCAAATGGTTCAACAACATTTCAGGTCGTTTCAGATCTTGGTTTCTGCGGATATATTGTAAGATCTGAAATGATCTGAAATGATATATGTCAGTTTACCAACTTGCCCTCCGGGCAGTTTGCAACTGAAACCACCTGTCATGCACCAACTTGCCTGCCAGGTATATACTGAACCACCTGTCATGCACCAACTTGCCTGCCAGGTATATGTCCGTGACCACCACCTTTGGGTCAAATGCCCTTTGCCAGGTGGGTGGGTAAACAACCAAGAGCGATGGCTTCGAAAACAGGCTGACTTCGTGCGCTTGCCTGACTGAACCTTTTGCAGCAACTTCGTGGGTGCTGAACCGCTGATAAAGCTACATTGGTAGCGGAGCGCCTGTTTGCGTTCCAACCACTGCGCTACTCCAACTACAACCTCTAACCTTCATCATAACCTCCAACCTCACCCTGGATTCCTTCAAGGGGAACTTCCTCTACCTGTTGCTCGAGCTGCACGCTCTTAACGAGCACTATGACAACTTCGAGTTCTGGAAAGACTGGAACTGAGCTGGATACCCAAAGCCTTCGGGACAGTTTCATCCCGACCTTTGATGGTACCACCACTGGTTACCGAGAATGGCGAAAGCGGATAGTGATCTACGCAAAGAAGATGGAGCTTTCGAAAAGAACCCAAGAAGCTGTGTTGAACCTGTTAGGATCACTCCAAGGCACTGCTTGGAGGATCGTCGAAGACTTTGACCTGAACAAGGTGAACGACCCTGAAGCCTTTGAGAATATCCTCAAACAGCTCGATGCAGCCTTCCAGTATGACAACAAAGTTGAGATGCCAGCCGACTTCACGGCCTACTTTGACTCTGCAGGCCGACGTCCCGGCCAATCCTTGCTTCAGTTTGTGACGGAGCATGACGAAAAGCTGAGACGCCTGGAGAAGCACAAGGTTGTCCTTCCTCCTGAAGTTCAAGGTTGGTACTTGCTCAACCGTGCCAATCTCAGCCGAGAACAGAAACAGATGGTGATGACCCAGGCCAACACGCTGAAAAGAACCAAGATCCAAGAGTCGATGTTTGCCATCTTGGGTCAGGACTACAAGAGTGGCCATGGAATTCCCAACTCCCGATGGTCTATGCGATCTTCTGGAAAAGGTCGTGGTTACTGCGCTGATGATGAGACCGTGGAGTCCGTCGCTGATGACTGGGCCGACTGGGATGAAGATGACTATGGGTACTATGAGTATGACGAGGACGACACCAACTGGCAGGACTATGAGTTTGACTATGATGCGGCGTACTACGAAGATGATGCTGGCAACCATGATCCTACGCTGGACTATGAGTTCGACGTCGCCGAGTACGACTCCTGCTATGCCTCATACCTTGATGCCCGGAAGAGATTCAACGACTTGCGAATGGCCCGCGGATTTCTCCCTGTGGTCGCCTTGGACCCTACAGCCTCTTCTTCGGGTGTGTCACCAACTCAGATGCCGCTGCAGTCCAACAAGGGCAAGGGCAAGAAAGGTAAGTCAAAGGGGAAGGGCAAGAACAACTTCAGGCCGCCACGGCCACCTATGAAAACACCTGATCCTCGAGGACGTGCTCAAGCTGCTCTTCACGCCCCATGTCTGCGTTGTGGATCGTCGTCCCATACGACGGCCAACTGCACTCAGGGTTCCAAAGCAACTCCAAAGGCAGCACCAGCTGGCAATGCTGCGAAACGCCAAGCTGTGGAGAGCATGGCCTTCCAACTTGAAGGCGGCATGGTGATGTTTGAAGATTCCACAGGTGCTGAACGACCTGACTGTGCGATGATGGACCCTGGAGCTTCGTCCTTCCTCATGGGCATGGGACCGTTGATGCGATACCTCGAGCACCTGGGCAAGCTTGGATTTCCGATCAACCAGATCAAGTTCAAGAAGGCAGATCGCACCTTTCACTTTGGCGGCGATCACAAGGCTGTCAGCAACTGGACAGTCCACTTGCCGATCTACCTCAACAACAAGTTTGGTCTGGTCCAAGCCTTTGTACTTCGAGGGGAAACACCCATGTTGCTTGGCCGCCCCATTGCCAAAGCAATTGGACTGACTGTGGACTTCCTCAACGATCGACTGCGATACAATGATGGTGAATGGCGTGCTGCAACTTCGGGCAGACACATGGAATACCTGCTACCTCTGACTGAGGACTACGACCCTTCCATCGACATCAACAACCCTGAGTTTGACTTGGTGCTTGAAGATGAGAAGGGCCCTGACTTTAACTTGGACGAGTTCAAGGAGTCTGAAGAGATCTATGTGACTGAGGATGCAGTCATTCCTGAAGGCTCCAACGTCCTCAAGACCAAGCAGCTGAAGTCCTTAGACACCTCAGTGCTGACCCAACTCAATGCAGCAGAAGCCTACATCTCACAGACCTTGCGCGACATGGACTTTCGTCAACCAAGGCAACTGTGGGAAGTCTACTGTGGCGAGAGCCGTATGACCAAGATTGCCACCTCCCTGGGCATGGATGCGCAGCACTTCGGCCTCAACAATGGTTGGAACTTCTCCTACAAGTCCCACCAGCGCGACTTCATGAAGCTGCTGGATGAACACCAACCTGAAGAAGTGTTTCTATCGCCCACTTGTGGACCTTGGTCTCCAATGCAGAATATCAATGCCAAGACGCTGCAGCGTCAAGAACAACTTCAACAACTACGAGATTGGCATCACAGAGTTCATCTGCGTTTTTGCAGAAGGATCTACTTGAAGCAGGTCAACGAAGGCCGACATGCACACGTGGAACAACCAACACCTGCTTTGTCATGGCGCACCAGCGCATTGTCAACTTTGCCAGGTCACCGTGCCAAGTTCAGCCAATGCCAGTATGGCGCTATGTGCAAGAACGACAACGAGCAATGGCTGCCAGTCCGAAAGGACACAACTCTTTTGACGACAAAGCTGGCCGTGGCCCAAGCCATGAATCGACAATGCCCTGGAGATCATCAACATTGCCGTCTTGAAGGTTCACTTCGTGGATTTCAAGTGCATCGCACAACCTACATGGAAAACTACCAACCCGCTATGGCATCAACTCTTGCGGCAGCTATGGCAACACCTGAAGCCCCACACAACTGGGAACATGGCTATGCCGTGCAAGAGATCACCGAGCACGTTGGCAAGCTCGTGGAACTCCATGTCGAAGGCAAGTCTGCAGCCCTTCGAGTTGTGCAGAAGCTCCACAGAAACCTTGGACACCCTTCAACGGCATCTTTGGTTGAACTTTTGAGCTCCAGAGGTGCAAGCCCTGATGTTTTACAAGTTGCTGGTTCCTATGTTTGCTCAGCATGTCAGCGCTACAAGAAACCCAATCAAACTGCACCATCTACTTTGGCCAAAAGCGACCACTTTAACCAACGACTTCAAGCTGATGTCTTTTGGATCAAAGATGGTGACAAGAAGTTTGCGGTTCTTTCATGCGTTGACTCTGCCACCAAGTACCAGACTGCAACCTTGGTGCCTGATGAGAAAACCTCCAACTTGATAGCTGGTTTGGAAAGATGCTGGATTGCCCATTTTGGGCCACCTGAAACCCTTGTCACCGATGAAGGCAGGGGATGGCTTTCAGACCCAATGGCTTTGTGGACTGATGAGCACTCGATCCATCATGATGTTGCTCCTGGAGAAGCTCACACCCGACTGAGTCTTGTGGAACGGCGACATGCAGTTCTACGAAAGAGCACTGAGCTCTACATGCAAGATCTACAACTTCATGGAGCTGATGGCATCAGGTCTGCTCTGACCTACATAGTGCCGCAACAAAATGCTCAGCCCACAGTTTCCGGCTACAGCCCTTCACAATGGCTTTTGGGGTATCAACCACAGGTCAATGGACTTTTGACTTCTGACCAGATCACCCCTGTGCACTTAGCCGGAGGCCACTCCTTTGAAGATGCTTTGATGCGTCGCAATGCAGCCAAGTCAGCCCTTCAACAAGCTGACACTGACCATCGACTTCGCCGTGCTCTTCTCAGAAGATATGCCGGCGCCAACATACGACTTGCTGTTGGTCAGACATGTTTTTACTGGCGTGATGCTCAACAAGCAGACCTTGTCAAAATCAGATGGCGAGGACCAGCCAAGGTTCTCATGGTTGAGGATGATGAGCAAGGCAATGCTTCAACCTACTGGATTTGCCACAAGACCCAACTCCTGCGTTGTGCTCCTCACCATTGCCGCCCTGATTTCCGACAGATCTCCAACAACGTGGTGGACAATCTTCTTGAAGCCAAAGAAGTTCTACGACAAGTCAAGTCTCGTGGCGTGACAAGGTTCCTGGACTTGAACCGCTTGAATCGTCAACACATTGACGACATCAATGAAGATGAAGAGATGATCTCCGACCACGAGGCCGATGACTATGTGCCTGAGGCCAAACGTCGTCGACTTGCTGAACTTCAAGATGGAGCTGAAGGTGATGATGACTACGAGCCATCAATTGCCGATGATGGTCCTCGTGATGATGATCGACCTCCTGATGATGGTCATCACCCGTCCCCTGGACTTATGGGACTGCCAGAAGGATCACCTTCGTCCCCTGGACTTTTGGGACAACATGATGGACTTTCTCCGTCCCCTGGACTTATGGGACCACCAGCTCCAATGGCTGATGAACCTCCTCTACCTCCAACGTTGCCAATCAACAACAACGACGAAGTGGAGCCCTCAGCAGAAGTTTTTCCTCCAACACCAGCAGCTGGTCAAGCTTTAGACCCTGCAACTGCTGAGAGATTTCAAGTTCCACAACAAGAGACTTTTGAGCAACGACGAGCACGAGTTGACCGCCAAGAAACTTTGTCTTTTGGACCCCGCAGGCCACAACTTCAAAGCTCACATGGAGCTACACCATATGATCGTCCTGCATGTGGCGATGATGATGCTGCTGCCAGCATGGCTTTCAATGTGGAGGACATGGAACAAGAGTCACTGCCTGGTGACTGGTGCTTCAAGCCTGAGACTGGCTACTTTGAGCTGCGTGAAGGTGCCCGAGTACGTGATTTCTGGGAGCTGAAAGCTGGATGCCTCCTTCGACATCACTGTCACCAACGGCGCACTCTCTTTGACCCAGCTGGCATCTCAGACATCCCAGTTCCTCTTGACAAGCTTGACAACGTCAGGGTCACCATTCACTTTGACCGTGACGGCAGTGCCAAGACCTTCACGGATGACTTCAGAAATCCTCAGCATCATGACAAAGACCTGCGGCAGCATCAATTGCCAACTACATGGAAGGGTATCACAGTTTTTCAACTCAATGCAGAAACCAGAAAAGAACTCAACATGTTTTCCAGCGACAGCAACCACTGTTACCACGTTCAGAATGCGAAGAAGGTCGCCCAAGGCCTCAAGAACCAACATCAAGGACAACAACGTCGAGATGTCACCAAGATGGCCAAGAACAAAGGCGAAGTGGTAGAAAAGCACCTGAACCAAACTGAAAGAGAAATGTTCCACCAAGCGAAGGTGAAAGAACTTCGCAGCTTTTTTGAATGTGGCGTTTGGGAGTTTAGCACTGCAGAAGAAGCCACACCAGAGAGAACACTTACAAGCAGGATTCTTTTGAAATGGAGTCGCAATGCTGATGGTAGCCCTCGTGCAAAAGCACGACTTGTGGTGCGTGGGTTCAACGATGTGGACGCGCTCATGGGCAACTTGGAAACAGCGTCACCAACCACCAGCCGACTTTCAAGATCCCTGCTGCTCTCTGTTTCCGCCAACTTGCGATGGCGAGCATGGTCTGCAGATGTTAGCACTGCCTTCCTTCAAGGCCTACCACAAGAACGAAAACTATGGCTAAAGCTTCCCAACGAAGCCCTGCAGATCCTTGGAGCCACCGCCAACACAAGAATGTATCTACGAAAGCCAGTTTATGGCCAACTTGATGCTCCTAGGAGATGGTTTTTGGAAGCCGTCCGCCGACTGAAAAGCCTTGGATGGCAACAACATGCGCTTGACCCTTGCTGTTTTTGCCTCTACGACTTCAAGAAGGAGTCAAGCCCAACGCTTGTGGGGATGCTGTGTCTTCACGTTGATGACATGCTTGCTGCCGGAGATCCAAACTCCAAAATCTATGTGGATGCCGAGACTGCCTTGAAGAAAGCCTTTGACTTCAGGACCTTCGAGACTGATGAGAAGACCCTGGAGTACTGTGGTGTGAAGCTTGAAAGGCATGACCATTGCTGGAAGGTCAATCAACATGACTACATCCAGAAGGTCAAGCCCGTGACCATACACAAAGGCCGTACGGCCGAAGATGAGATGAACGACCATGACAGGTCACAACTTCGAGCTCTCCTTGGCTCACTGCAATGGCCTGCCGTGCAGACTGCACCGCACTTACAGTGTTCTGCAAGCCTTATTAGTGGTCAGCAGAAGACGGGAAAACTACGTGCGGTGATTGAAGCCAACCAACTGCTGCGCTTTGCAAAACAAAATAGCGATGTCAAGCTCAACTATGAACCCCTGGACATTGACTCACTTGCCGACTTAAGGCTCTGTGCAATGTTTGATGCTGCCCATGGAGTCCGAGAAGATGCCACGTCTCAGGGTGGCTACCTGATCTTCGTCGTGCCCAAGAAGATCTTTGAGAAGGAGACATCCTACCACTTGATAGAGTGGCGCAGCTTCAAACTCCCCAGAGTGGCAAGGTCAAGTCTAAGTGCCGAAGCTCAAGCTTTTGGCCAAACAGCGGATATGGTAGAGTTCATATGCCGATATTGGACTTGCCTCTTCAACCCTCCTTCAAAGCTGAAAGAATGTCTGGACCAACGATCTGACCTTGAGCCCGTCATGATTACCGATGCCAAAGCCCTCTATGACAGCTACAACAAAGAAGGTTTGACTGGCTCTTCGTCCGTTGACAAAAGGACAACTACAAGCTTTGGGTGGTGTTTTGAAATGGATGAGCAGCGAAAAGCAGTTCGCTGATGGTTTGACAAAGAGTTCTACCAGAACTTTGCTGGCTGACCGACTTCGACATCATCGACAGAAGCTGGTGTGGGACCCATACTACACTAGCGCGAAACGCAAAGATGCTGCAGAAAGAGAAGCAAGCCGCAATGAGTTTGCGAAAGGGAAGGAATCCAATCAACATCAACCTCACTCTCAACCTCTCACCTCACCTTCACCTACAACACAACCACAACATGAACGCATGGATGATGGAAACTATGAGCTGCAGATCCCTGAGGACCCTGCCGAGCTCTACACGATGGAGGATGAAGACATGAATGAAGAGACCTATGAACCTGTGTATGACGACACTCATGTCGAGTCCTATGAGCCTGTCGAGGCCTACGTAGCAACCCCAAAGAATGCCAAGGTGATAAAGTATGTCATCGCGGCGCTGACCTGGTTGCCTACGACCTCTGCAATGCATGCAGCTCCGGACCATGAACATGGACAGAGCGGAATTTGGATTTTCGCCATTTTGGCGATGATGCTCCTTTGCCTCCTCCTTGGACCTTGGCTTGGTGCTCGATACGAGCGACTGCGCCTGCAACAGGCAATGGACCTTGCCTATGCCCACGTGGACCAACTCCAACGAGAAGGTGCAGAACAGGCGGATTTGATTCGCCGACTTCGGTGTCGATGCTATGATGTGGCTGGCCGCCGCAACGAGATCGCGAATGAACTGGAAGAAACAAGACGCAACGCCAACGTGATGGCGATTATGCTGGCCTCTCAAATCGAAGCAATTCGGTTTCTACAAGCAAGAACCGATAGACTTCGAAGCCTGATAGCCAACCACCAAGCTCCGTGCCCGCTTGGCGACACAGTCCTTGTGCAGCCGACACTGGACGGCTCACTGTGGCACATCGACCCTGAGTGCCCCATCATCGAGCTAAACCGAGCTCACATGGTGCAAGAGCACGACCATTGTGAGTACTGCTGTGCGAGAGACCGAAACATGGTGACAGACCGAGCTTTCACTGGACGATGATGCCGAAGATTCTGTGAGAGAGCAATTTTTCTTTTCACCTGACACATGAGGCTCTTTTTAACAACTGCCCGTGTCAGTTTACCAACTTGCCCTCCGGGCAGTTTGCAACTGAAACCACCTGTCATGCACCAACTTGCCTGCCAGGTATATGTCCGTGACCACCACCTTTGGGTCAAATGCCCTTTGCCAGGTGGGTGGGTAAACAACCAAGAGCGATGGCTTCGAAAACAGGCTGACTTCGTGCGCTTGCCTGACTGAACCTTTTGCAGCAACTTCGTGGGTGCTGAACCGCTGATAAAGCTACAATATATTTTTCAAATTCCCTGACACAATATATAAACATCAGCAGCTCTGGGGCTTTGGAAGTCAAAACAAGGCCACCATTCATCTCGAAGTTCTCAACTTGAATCCTACGTTCACCTCATCTTGCAATCAGCCAGTGCCGGGAACATAGGGCATCAACATGACTTGGTCGATTTGGACTTGATCAGACTTTAGTATTTGACCAGTATTTGAAGAATATGATCAGACAAAAAATATGGTCAAGTTGACCAATCAGACTTTAGACCTTCTCGAACATTCTATGTCAAATGCCCTGGCAAATATTCACCCTCAATCAACCAGGAGCCAGGAACATTTAGGGGCAAACCTTTACGCATGCAACGACTGGAATTTTGCGCTACAGTTGCCCTATCATTCCGATTTTATGACCGGCTGGTCGCGCTGCAACCTGACCGACCATTGCATGATCCAACAAGAAAATTGTACAAGTAGGCGGTAAGCCATTGCGTTCTATATAACCCCGGTGGAGTTGGCTGGAATTGGTCTATTCCTCCGTGAAATTGGTCTATAACCATTAGGCTTCAAGGCTGATGTTCCAGACATAGGGGGGCCCATCATCCAATGTTTCAGGGTCAAAGTCCAAGACATGAATAGAACCACCAAACAAAATGTTGCTGATATGATTGGGTGCTTAGCCAATCATATGGTAAAAAATCGTTTGTTTGGCTATACGACCACTATTTTGATACATGAATAATATTCATTGCGCTAGATAGGTAGCACTGTGTAGATCAAACAAACAACATAGCAAGACATAGCACTGCATAGATAGAGTTATAAGATCAGAAAGTAAGATATACAAATAGACAAACAAACAAACAAACAAACACATAGATAGACACAGAAATAGATAGATAGATAGATAGATAGATAGATAGATCGATGGATGGATGGATGGATTGGATTGGATTGGATTGGATTGGATTGGATTGGATAGGATAGGATAGGATAGGATAGGTAGATGGATAGATAGGTAGATAAATAGATAGGTAGATAAATAGATAGGTAGATAGATAGATAGATAGAGATATAAATATATATATATAGATATATTAGATTCAGTTAGATTTTATCTGATTTTGATTCAGATTTAGATTAGATCAGATTAGATAGATAGATAGATAAATAGATAGATAGATAATCAAATAGATAGATAGATAGATTAGATCAAACAACATAAGGTTAGATTAGATTTGGTTGGATTATTGGATTACACATTTTTTCTTATATAGATTCGATAGTATAGATGGATGCATATTGATGGATGGACGGACAGATAGTAGCGTGTTTTCGAAACAGGGCATGTTTGTGTATGATTTTTGTATGCACATATGCATGCATTTACGCACTCATGCATGTACAAAGGGATGTCCGCATATGTATAGATACATACCAAATGTGCACATATGACAAACTTGATCAAACATGAGAAGGAAAACACACACATACCCCCTGGTAATTGAACATGTCCATGTAACATTACCCCGGAAAGAAGATGATTTACCGATTCAATATGACTATTGTCCACCACAATTCCATCCAGGCTCGGCCTCTGCCACAGTGCTACCATGGGGGCCCATCAAGTCAGGGAGCCTCGGGCACCACATGGGAAGCGCTGTTGCACCAAACACCACGCCCCACCAACCAACATAAGACCCTAAGAATGGCATGTGTCTACTATATATGAGGACGGTGCATACCCTTACCTTAAAACCCCCTATTTGGCAGAGTCGAAACATGGGATGTAAGGGAATGTATGTATATATATATATATATAACCCCCAAATAAATTTCGTCATTGGATATGTCTTTTGGGGCAGTTTGCACAGTAAATAGGAAAATCGCCGGAAACGGGCACTTGATGACAAGGCTTTGATCTACCCGCAGGTACAATACCCTCCAAGGAGACCCAAAAGGATCCCAAAAGGTGGGTTCCTCTGTAGCTATGTATGTTCTTCTCCTGCCATTAACCCCAATGTGTTGGGAGGGCGAATTACTTTCACAACGGAATGAACTGCCAGTCCAATATCCAGCCACAAAGACACGTATTTAGATTTCCCAATGTATAAGGCAGTAAAATAAAGCCTACCATACACAAATATATATATATATATATATCATGTAATATGTATAATATGTATATGGTATGCACATGAGAATATACACTATAAAGACCATTGCGTATGTATGTATAACTAATATATATATATATAAACATACTGTATCTTGGAAGCTTAGTGGTGGCGGCTCAGATTCAGGAAACATCCACGAGATGGATCAGGAAATTGTGATGGAATTGATGATCCATGAATCATGAGACATGATTTTCCAATTTTCATCAATAGCTGTGATAGACGACCAAAGAGTGGATCTGCTAACATCCATTCATTGGACGTCTACCAGTTGAACCTGATGATCTGCAAGAAAACGGATGAAAATGGTTGGATGACCACCATGGTCTCCACCATCTACCAACATATCAATCATAAGGAACTATAAGAAGCCTAATAAGGGTCAATCTTCCTATTTAGAACATGTTTGGACCACTTCTGGAAGTCTCTACGTCTCACTCACTGTGTACGCAAATCTGGTCTGAGGCCCCAACTTCTGTACACAAAAACTGGTCGGTTGAGCCCAAAGTTTGGCGGAATGCGGAACTTTAGGCAATGAAGTTTACTCCAAGCCACCCTCAATTTCATAACATGTGCTTGAACAAAATGAATACAAGTCAGCTAAACTTTGGGCAACCAACAGTGCAAACAATTTGCTTGGGATGTTTTCATCAGCAGTGAAACCCCGAATGTAATGCGCTGACTTTTAAGACTTGTATTGATCATGTGACTCCCTTTGGCTTGTAAAATGACTTAACAGTGATCATTGAAATTGTTGCACGGGGATTCAGCCAACCCCGAAAGGTCACCCGCAAATAAACGATTAAATTAGTATCGTTTAGATATGTCATGTATGTTGTTGCAGAAAAGGACACGTATACACAACCGGACGTTTAGGATCGTTTAGGAAATAGGATGGAATAGCCTCACCCCTCACAGGGCAGCATCTGAAGGATTTTGCGTGGGTTGAAGTTACTCCATCTAGCACGCACGTGACAGATCCAAACTCCAATGCAGGACAAAGGGGTGCACTCCTGAGATTTCTACTTTTATGGATCCTTCGAAAGTTGAGTTTCCAAGATATGATTGCTCGCAACGATATATATATATATATATATATGTATATATAATATATTAGATTTTACGGTATATTGAAGTGCGTGAATGTGTATGGAATTTTGTGGAACAGTGCGGAATACCCGGGGGGGTACCAAATCAACTGCCAAGACACGTCACACCAAATACGCTGATATAAGCTGAGATTACACCCGCATGCTTTTGTAGATTCATTCAAGCATGACGTACGATAATGTATGAGGGTTTGTTGGTCATCACAGGTGCCCTCACTCACTTGCGCCCGTAGAAATTTGACTGGGCTCTTTGTATTCCCCTAATTTCCTGCCGGAGCATGACGAGCATAACTGGGTCTGGGGGTCTGGGGGGCTCCGACACGGCGCACTGCCATTCTTGGCGTCGTATTTGGGTTGGGGCCCAAAAATGAGTTTTTTTTTTAACTCCAAATGACAATCAAATAATTGGGAACATGATGATAAACCCTGATAAACCAATGGATTTAGGGGTGTTAACACATTTTAGCCAAACTTCCAGGTATCAAGACCATGTTCTTGTTACACTTGTGGTTTCAACCTGCACTATTGTAGAGGCATGTATCATAAACTCTGGAGATTGAGACCCTCGCATGCGAAAAAAAATGCATCGAACAAATACAGTATATGTTTTCAAAAACCCAGAAATCATCATCCCCTGGATGTTGGTATACGGTATACCATCTAATTAGCTAGCCAAACAATCCAACAATGAAACGTGAAGAAATCCGGATGGACTGCCTTCACAAACCAGGATGGACTGTCAGCCTGGTTTCCCATGTGTTTTCCATGATTTCTCCGGAGAAAATGGTGTCGTTGTCCTTTCCCAATGTCTCGGGATCTTAAAGAAAAGACACGTGTTGTTGAACACCAAAAGCAAAACACATGTCCTAAACAGGGTGATTTCATCACAACCACTCCGAGTCCAATTAGTGATATACCTCATAGGGGTCCCAAGTTGAAAAGTTTCACAGGGCTAGAAACATGTCCACGTGGGACAATGATCCTTTTGGTAAACACCCAAACAAGAGACATCAAGAGGCTCAAATTTTGGCACAAAAAAATGTGGTTCATATAATTTCATATATTAATATATATTACAGTACTTGTTTTGTCATGTAAAGAACTATTTGTCCTGGATTCCCCCAACATTGCCATACATTGCCCAATGGGGCCACCGGATCTCACCGGGGATCCCCGCCTTTCGTAAGGCCTGAGATTTTGTTGAGATCCCCAAGCCATTTCCGTCCACAACTTACGGCCGTTGGCCCGGCCCTGTTCGAAGGATTATGGGAAGATAGCAATCAAAAATGTGCCCAAGGGGTCCAAAATCAAGCAAATAATGAAACAGTCTACGCAAAGGTGAGAAAAACAGGCAATCTGTACATGACTCTATGAAATAGGAGTTTATGTACACATGTTACACAATGTTACACATGTCATTCTACAAAGGAGTTTTGGTAGATAATGATGTGTTTCCGTGCACGACGCATCATACACGAACACATCACATAAAGTGTGTTCACACAGAGTATAGTTCAAAACGAGTTTCATCACACCACAATCTGTGATCAGTTGAAAGGGGGTTTGTGGTCCCTTGCAGGTTCGAGGAGCGCTTCACGAATGACTAAAATTCGATGATCAAAATTGAGATTTGGAGATCCAACATCATTAGCCTTCAGGATGTCCCAAGCCAGTTTCATGCTTTCCATGGTCCAATTTTCCTGGGTCGGCCGACTCTTTGGTTAAATGGTTTTTATGGTTTTTTGGTATATGTAATAAGAAACAAAAGTAACTTGTTGTGAGTGTGACCTGGGTCTTCTCAGTTGAAAGGTTTGATTTTGCGGAGAGGTCCCTGTGAAGGAGCACCACTTCATTTGCCCGTTGGTAAACGAAGTCGTTAGAGTTGTTTCTATCGATGTAAGTGGTGTGCAAACGTAATATTTTTCTCAAGCCTTAGAGTTGAAATGTATTTAGCAGTCTCCCTGTACTGTGTGTCGTTTGAAGGGACTCTAAACCGTAAAGTAGTCTACTAATGATAACGGAGTTATAAACTAATTATATTATATAAGTAATTTCCATTTTCTGCTTCAGTTCGGTTTGTTTCAATATCAAGGCGTTTCAAAATTGGCATGGTGCTCGAGATTCGGCGCCTTCCTTCCTGCGCAGGATCAGCTTTTTCCCGTCGTCTGCATCACGGTTCCATTACAAAATTTCATTCTGCCGATGTTGGTATTAAAACTGTCATATAATTGCGTTTGCAATCATTTATATGCATTTCTCATGTTTCAATCTAAGACTTTGATTCTTGTTCGATCAAATGGAAATAAACGCGGCAGTCCTAGCACTTTTGGCAATGATATTGGATGATTATATAGATTGTCGTCTGCATACAACACTTCTTGGAAAATCTTGGAAACTGCTATTTTGAAAAGGGTTTTGACGTCGAGGGTCGTGAAATTGTTTCACGCCGTGAAACATAACATGTATGGTCAATATAAAGGTGTAATGACTTAATGGACATCCCTGTCTTCCTGTCCTCTGTTGCCATTCGCTTTCCTGATCCCCTTGCATCACTTTGAAGGTTGGATTCTAGTGACTTCTGATATTATCAATAATGGTTTGAGGAATTCCTAGCCATTCATAAGAGGGACAGAAACATGTTGTCATGGTCGATTCCATCGAAGGTCTTCTCCCAATCAAAGGAAAATAAAAAATGATTAGCGGGTCATGCCCTTGTTCTGCATAGTCTGTCAGGCGGTGCACGCAAAAAAGTGGTTCAGCAGTTGACCGTTTAGAGCGAAAACCGTATTGTGTCCCCGATATAATCTTAAAGGATAGATGCGAGCCGGACTTGAATAACGCCAGCGAACATCTTATAGCAAGCATTTAGCAGGGAGATTGGACGATTGTTTTCAGGATTGTCATGTGCCCTTTTGTATAAACAACAGACACGCGCAAGCGTGTTTAACTGTCAGGGACCCTCCGCCCTACCCAGAGCCTGCAGCTTTGTTGGCTTTGAGTCTCGAAACAGTGTGCTGGATTTCAATGATGGAAATGGGGTCAACTTTAAATGGAAAGTTCTGGTGGAACAAAATGCACATAGTATAATCACATATGATTATAACATATACTGTTATATAATGTTATATATATATACATATGTATGTGTATATATATATAATATACCCCGGTTAGTTTTTCAGTTTTAGAGACCATCAAAAAATAGTGATTGGCTACATGTACCAACGGAAATTCCTGAATAAAACCACCCAGAGGGTGATTCTGGGGTTGACATCATAGATCATCATAGAAATGTACAGAGTGTTTTGTGGCTTCAGTCATTCTGATATCCGAGGTAGGGATACAATAGAAGGGAAAGCAGTTCCGGTTGTACAATTTCCCCCTTGAGATTCTCGAGATAGGGGCCAAACCCAAAAAGAATGAGAGCTCAAAAACGTCAACAAATTGGGGTCAACCATCCCACTGTAAAGTCATCGCAGATTTTGGCGCCGCAAAACCCTAAATGGATCTAATATGATCTATATAATCAAACATGCGGAGGTATACACTTATATCATATATCCAAAGTCACAATCACAAGATATGTCATCAGTCTAAGGACAGGGCAGAAGCCCAGCAAAGGTATTTATATATGTATCTCATTTCAGCTCTATAACTCCAAAACAACAAGACATGCAACATAATTCTGTCTTACTCTGCCTTGGTATCTAAAGTCTAAAGTTAGATTCTTAACAAAGGCAGACTTAACATCTCTTAACATTTATTGTCTTTACTTCAACTAATCATTACTTTACATTTCTTATAACACACTTCAGATCCCATCCTTCGACCTTCTCCGGTCCGGACGGCACCCTCCAAAGGTTTTTACCAAGATCCCCGGCCAGCGACACAGCCCACCTAAGAGGCGATGCCGGAAGGAGCTTCCGTACGTACAAGGCCAGAAAAACAAACAACAACTCTTGCCAGCACACACACACACACATATGCGCATATATATACAATATATCAAGGTATCTGTATATAACTATATATCATTATGTCTATATATGTGTAATTATAGATAAAACTATAAATTTATCTATATGTATTTACTTATTTGTAGTTGTTGCCTCTTCAGTTCAGGTGTTCATGGGCCATGGGCCAAGGCTCCAACCCCTCAACCCACGCAGCAAAACGGTCCTTTTTGTTGGGTCTCCGCTTCGACCCTCCTGCGCTTGGAACTCGAGCACCAAGCATTCTCCAAGCGCGTCAGGGTCTCCGAAGTCACTGGCCAGCGTTGAGCGCCAGACAGGTTCCTGGGATGGAATGGGATGGGCACTGCATCATACTTCCACCGTGAATTTTGATGTGGTGAGCCCATTGCCATAACCCCATACCATCCCAAATTTGGAATATTTTGGGATAGCGTCGACTTTTCGGGATAGCTTAAGCAAACAGACTATGACTGGTTGTTGGCTGTTTATCATTATTGGTTTTAGGACATTATAGGACATTGCTCATTTTGAGATCATTTGAGGGACAGCAGCCAACATGCATTGCAAAAAGGAAGAAATGAGTGATGATGAGTGTTTGTCAGTGGAAGCGCGGGTACATCATACTATATTCCGATGCATGATGGGCAATTATCTGATCCCAGACTACATGAAAATTGTTTACAGTGGCTGTAGGTTTCTGATACCCATCAGTCTGGGAGCAAAAAATCATGGCCCTGAGAGCCAAGCAGCAGTGGTCACTGTTGATCCGAAATCATCCAGTGATCAAAAGAGAGATCCAGTATATTATAGATTTAACATGTATATATTCACATAGATAATATAAATGCAAATTACATACAGGCCATTACGTATCCATACCACATAATGTTGTTGTAAGGTGTACGCAACCTGGCCCACAGGAAGTTGCCAGTTGGTCAGCTGTTTCAATTTGACATCAATCAAGGCATTGAAACTGAACATTGTTCGGACATCTTTTGAGTGGAACAAAATAGGTAGGAAATCAACAAATCCAAATTAGCCTACCGATGGACTCCATGGACCCACTATTTTTTTTGCGGGTGATTCTACACATTTCTATAACCCATAGGATCCATGTATGGTATATATGCTAACATGACTGGGGTATATTGATGGTAAATGTTACCATATATAGCATACATGGATCCTATGGGTAATATTAGACAATCTTTGTGTGGTTGTTTTTCTTTGGGCATGTCCCCGAATCGCCGGCCGTCACGCTGAGCATCTGGAGGACAATGAGCAGCGAGCCTCGCGCTTCAGCTTGGCAAAGGAGCAAATGGTTGGGCTTGCAGTAGTGCTGTCCTCAGATCAACCAGCACAACTGGCACAAAAAAAAAAAACGATCTCAGTACCATCTATAATTGGCTTCAGGGAAAAACAATCATTTTAGGTAATGTTGGCCTACTAAACATCTAATAATTGCGCCAGATCAATGGAAGCCCGAACAATCGGCTAACCTTTTAACTGTTTTGATGCATCACACCAGTCAAAGGCATGGAAAATCACAGGCAACCCAAGCAGACCACTCTAGACGGAGGCCATCTCGCCGTGGCCGAAATAGAGTGCTTCAAGTATAGCATAGCATAGGCCATAGGCCAAAAACACATAGAGATATAACGCACACACACACATATATCTGTATATGTATATGTATATACATACATATACATATATATCATTGCAGAATAAATTATAGTTATATTACATGCAAACATAATGCTCGGAATGCGAATATTATAAAAAGTCACCATCAGCAAGGGGGATGCAGCAACGTCGTAGCCTGAAGAAAGTACCAGTAATCTTTACATGAGCCAATGAGCCAACCATTCTATACAATTCGTGGTCACTCTTCAGGACCTGTACTGAAACATCTAACTGCGGGGATAGGTCAAGGTGCGGTGGTAGACTTTCGTTACCTCTGCCAAGATTCGACCATTCAAATAGCAGTGATTGGATCCCTTGATTTCAAGGGATCCTTGGCAAAAGCTCGAAGACAAAGCCTCAGACAGCAGGTTTGCTGAAGGGGCGCAGCACCAGTTTTGACCCGTACTTTGTAGTTATGTAAATACTATAGGTATAGCTATAGTAAGTGTTAAAAAAAATGTAACAACTGGTGGAGCTGTCAAGCAGTGGTTCCCCAACAACATGGTCTGATGGTCGATGGTGGGTCCTTGCACTGCAGGGTATTCAACAAACAAAAGCCATTGTTTGTGGGCAAAACCGCTGTCTAGTCTAACCATCAGGTCAGTTCGGCAATTGCGTTAAAAGCCGAAAACCCAAAACTAAAACTGGGTTTTAAACAAACCGCCATTCATTGATAGCAACAAAATTTGGTTGCACTAAACATTCCATCCCTTTTGATGGTTCTATCCCCAATTCATACCCCCATTCTCTTCCATTGTATCCCTATGATTGTGAATTTGAATCATTGAATCCCCCATTATATCCCTATAAACTATAACCCTTTTGGCAGTCCAACCGCCGTTAAGCGCGGATGTCTTGCACCAAAGGTTCAGCGTTCATTGCAGGACTGCCAAGCCAAATAGGTAGAATCAAGGCCACCGAGAGCGCCTTTGCGTTTTTTGTGGCCTGCGCTTCGGTGGTTCGAACACCATGATCGATGGTTTGTATAATTGAAACCAACTTATCTCCAAGGGATATTAATGTAACCAGTGTAATCCATGTATTCCATGTCTCTTCTTGGGGGGTTCAAGCCACCAACCATTAATAAGGGCTTGATTCCCTAGGGGATAGCTGCTGGGAGTGTTGAGGAAGGGCCAGTTCAGGCACCTCAATAGCAAACCTCGGCTTCCGGTATGGTTTCTATGAACATGTCTGATAGCATTGGGGATGGGAACGGGTGACACTGCCTGGGTCATCCAGCTTGAATGAGGATGAATCATGCTAAAACACGTCTGAGATATGCAACCAGCAAATGTCGTTACAGTAAGAATGGTTAATGGTTTACAACCTAATCAACCTACAATTGGACACCGAAATTGTACCCCATTGAGTTCGATGCTTTTCCCAGCAACCTCCATGTCTTGGGGGATTTTGCCGGCCATGTTGACACCTTCTCCAGGGATTGAATCAACCGCTGCACTGTCTTCATCATGAGGCCCTCCTCGCGGCCAAGATATGACATTCTGATATGGATACAAGGTGCTTCAACAAATGTTATAAGTTATAACTTATAACTATTTACCCTCTGGTAAACTAACATTACTAATTATGGAAAATCACCAATTTTAATGGGAAAATCCACTATTAATGGCCATGTTCAATAGCTATGTGAAATTACCAAAGGGTATAAGATTTTAGAAGTTCTAGAAAAACCACCTTATTGGAAACCTCGACCTTATTGGATAGAACGATTGGACACCTGGAAATTATGTATACTATGTATATTATCCTGGGAATAAGAACGCTTCTGATTTGTTAGGGACTCCCAAAGTGTAAACTCAGTGCAAATAACACACGATGATCAATGTGCCAACACAAATTAAGGATGACAGTTTTCTACACCCTTCTAGGTTTCATGATACATGCATCTGGAAATGTACAAATTCACCTTGTGAACGACATGAGCTCCAAGATGTTATCCTAAGTACGTTCCCTAGCATGCTTCTGCGAACGCTCATCAGGCGGATAAAAGGAAATAACCTCCAAAACTGTTTTGTGTTCAATCGTTAACAGAAATGAGTCCCTTTATATTGACCAAAGAACCACTTCATGGATCAGAAAATGGAGTATATAATCTATGCCAATTTCGGAAAATGACAATTTCAATGAGGCAAATGGTGATCTACATTGATCTTCATGACGTGCTTTTTCCGCTTGTCTTCATCATTTTCTGCTGTTCCATATGTTTCACGGCCCGGAGTCCTCGAAGGGAGGGTTGCACTCGTAGCTCCCTTCGACTAACGACCACTGAAAGAAACTCCCTGAGGAGCCGAAGGCCAAATCCGTGTCCTGGTTTAAAACGATCAGGCAGATTTTATGGTTGATTATCCTATATGCCTATATTAAAAACTGTGATTCCCCTATATATAAAATTGGAGTTTATACGGATCACATACCATTCAATTATAGTAGATTTTCCCGTATAAAAAATGGTGATTTTCCATAGCGAACTGTTAGTTTGCCAATATGGATGATCATAAGATAGAGCAAGCCCCCAAAAATAGAAAAAATGAACACCTGGAAACACAACATGTGGAAAAACATCAGCGAACTACCATCCAGGAAACAATGTCCTATTTTTTTTGGGTTGCTACAATGCAAATTGGAAATATTACAGTGCACAGCATGTAGCTAGATGGATGGATGGATGTATGGATGGATGGATGGATGGGTGGGTGGATGGATGGATGGATCGCTAGATAGATTCAAACAAATAGACATATCATATCTAGACATATCATATCTATAGACATAACTGTTAACATACATCTGTATAGTTATGTATTACATGTCGCATCTCTCGTTGTTCACTAGGTTTTTCCACCCACCAAGAAATACCGTCCTGGAACAAAGAACAGTAGCTGGACAGCGTGCAGTTCCTTGGCCCGGTCCCTTGTTTTGCTACCGGAAACTTGGGATTTCACCAACGGTGAACGATGGTGATGATCTACAACCACTCTCAATGAAATGGTGTAAACAATGGGGTATACAGTGTGGTTTTGTGGACAATGATAGACATTAGATCATATCTAGACTGAGGAAAGTATGGGGCACATGGCATAGCACCAACCATATGATGGGAATATACTATAGGGTTCCGGAGAAATGACCAAATTAATTACATTAAATCGACAATCCACCATGATCCACCGTGTGTAGATCATTTCCTCTTGAAACCATAGTTTTTTAATATCTTAGTTTACATATGTTTACAGGGACCCAAGCATAGCCCAGGGCACCATGTAAGCCAAGGCATAGCCCAGCATCAAGGGAGAAGCAAAGAGCTCGTGGCTAACACCCAACTCCTGGGGAGTCATGTCTGCCGAAATCCGATCCCACCCGATCCCTTGGCTGGTGGCATATATATGGTGAAATCAGTCAATTTGATGGGTGAAGCTCGTTTTATGGCTTGTTCAAAAACAGGATTCCCCAAGATCAACTGGTTTATCATCATGTTCTTTCTTTAAAATTGCAATAATATGTGGTGTACTCGGCACTGTTCAAAGAAAAACACCGCATATATATATATATCATAACATATTTCATTGGAATCATCTTGCCCACTAGAAACCTACATTTGTATATCCCCACTGTAACCCCATGTATATCTCCAATCATGGATGACTGTTCTGGCAGTAAACCCATCAAAAGGTCAATTTATCTACATTATATTTCAAGATGTTTTTCCCCAATTATATCCCCAGTATCCATTGGTCAAACACATGCATACGTGGGCACCCCAAATCCTCATATGCTACATACCCTCTGGTAATTCAACATGCTGTGGAAAGTCGCCATCTTTTATATGTATATATAAATCATCTATGGTACATGTTTCACAGCTACGTCACAAATTGTCAGGAGTAAATGCCACTACCATCGTGATTGATCCCCCCCGGTAAACTAACATAGCTATGGAAAATCACCCATTTATATAGGTAGATCAACTATCATTGGCCATTTTCTATAGCTATGTTAGTTTACCAGAGAGTACGTGCTATATTTATGAAATGATGATGCTTTTATTCTATAGCTATGGTCATTCCATGTCCTGAAAAAGTCCATTTACGCCCTGTTGAGTTCGATGATTTTCCCATATCATCCATGACCTCCCCCCAAGGGGCACCTGCTGCAAAGCCTCGAAGACCTGCTGGGTCAGCGCCATGTGCCAGCCCGCACCCTCGTCATTGGGGCATGTTGTGGGGATTTCAAGGGATTTCACCATCAGAAACAGGGTGATTATAGTGATTTAACGAAACAAAAGGGACCTGCACTCCATCCAACCTCCCTGCAAAATCTCCCAAATCTATATACATATTATATATATATAAGCATCTGCCTACTGCTGTAGCGAGCAAGAGCATCATATATGCAGAGATTGTCCAAGTTGTCAATCCTGCAAACATTTGTGACCGTGAGGCCGACTTGCAAGCTCGCCTGACCACCCTGAAAATTCCTAACCCCCGTTTTCATCGGATTAACCATCAAGTTGTGGGCACGTTAATTTCAAAATAAAACAATCGGTTATATAGTTTATTTTCAAGTTTACCTGCCCTAGTGCTCCAAATATCCTCTGAGAATGCGTTTGAAGCTCCAAAACCAGGCCCAAGCAGTTCGGGTTGAGGTGTCAGTTTTTGGAGTCATATGCCTACATACTAATTTCAGATATTACTTTTTGGTAATGGTAATTTAATGTAACTTATATAACATATAGCTAATATGAAAAACGAACCATTTGTAGATATAGATTCTTCTAGGTTATTTGCCTATTGTTTAAATCTAAATCAAGGTGGTGATTTCCATAGCTATGTTAAGTGACCTTAGCTTTACACAGCAGTTGCCGACCTCATCGTGGGGTCCAAAGAGGGCCCGGTAGCGCGTCAGAAGTGTCCAGCACATCTCCGCACATCGCGCGGGGTCCTGGTGGAAACTTGCCCAGTGAGCATTGAGGCACTGGGGGCATTTATATGAGGGGTATCAACAATACTAAGGCTTAAGGAGATTTCTGGATATGACTACACACAAAGACACAGAAATGGATATGGCTATGTATATATATATATATATATGTGTGTGCGTGTATGTATGCATTTATTTGCTTAAATGTAAAAAGTAATAAATAGATATAAATATAAATAGATAGATAGAGAGATAGATGTATATACATATATGTGTGTGTAAGATATATACATATATATATATATTATAGATATAATATACACATAGATATAGATGCAAATATAGAAGTCTATTACATGTGTATTATGTGATTGCCCTTTTGCACAGCAATCCAAGCTGGCATTGCTGGACAATCCAATTTGTTTTCTACATGCATGGGTGAGTTTCCTTACCTTATTTCATTACCAAAGTATATAAAAATAATGATATATACATCAGTATCATGGACATGAACCGGCATAGAAGAGGCAGCAACAATTCTCTCCAGGAAACAAACAAAGGGATTAACCAATACATAGGCTTGTGACCAGTAATTAATACAGTACAGCAGGAGTGAACATTCCATAACATTCCCATTGTATTAATCCGCAATCCGCAAAACCTCCATCAAAACAAAACCCTGCTGATGCATCTGCATCATGTATCCGCAGATCTCTGATCTCTGTAAAAATACGTGTCAATGTGATCTATTTATATAATATATATATATATATCCCCTGATATCCCCATGTTTGCTGGTTGTATCTCCTGTGTCATGTAGACCATGTCCCTTTCGCCGGGTCGCCATTGCCGCCGGATCTCCTCCTGGTACAGGCGACGCAGCTTCTGCCAGTGTCCCAAGTGGATCTCATGTCTTCGTGGGAACTTTCCCTCCACATCTGGCAACGCGCCCACCAGGTCCTTATGGCAGGGAGGCCTTACATACATATGGAATGATATGGAAAGCTTAGGATCTACAAAATTCTACGTACATATGGTGGGGGTTCCAAGAGTATGTTAATTTATTGGAAAGTATAATTTTGGGGTTCCAGCTGGGATGTGGGATGGTTTGGTGTCTGACAACCAGGCTGGTTGTGGACAAACATTGGATTAAAATGTCAATTTTGGGGTTCCAGCTGCCTTTACAATCGTCCGAATTCAGTGCGTCATCCAAATGATCATAACATATCTGGAATATGCGCAAATATGTATATATATATATATACATAAATATACATATATATATAAGATTAATTAAAGGCTTCGGAACAGTCACTTCTATCATGTTCTATCCATACCTACGGTAGTATGTTTACCATGGTGCCAGCTGTTCTTGTGAAACAACGCGATCCCAATGAGTTTCACAATGTACCAGCGAACCCCTGGTGAAGACGTAGGCGTCCAAGTTTCCAAACGAACGGTTTTCTCCATTTCTTCCTGAGGCTGGCATCCCAAAACAAATGTGCGTTGTGAACCAATTGTCTGGAAGAATTCACCGGAAACAAACTTCCACAGCAAGGAATAGCGTACACATGTATGCAGTAGAATCCTATGAACTTTTAACAATGCAACTACCTTTTGTTAAGTTATGCTAAGTTCCATCTTGCTGGTCACTTGGTCAACCTCTTGGCCCCGTTTTCTGCCAGCTTGAAATGTTGTATGACAGGGCAGGTTCTCTGCCCAGCAAAAGAAAGGTCCGTATTTTGACTTCTGCAGACTTGAAAAATATTGGACATCATTCCATATTAGGGTTTGCCTGAAACACATGGTTTTCATGTATAACCCTGAAACACAGATAAATCTAAGGACAAATTATGGTGGATATACACCATGTTCCACCCCCTTTCCCCTTAGAAGTTTCAACGGCGGATTCAACCTCCAGCTGAGCGGGCGTCCAGTCCCTCCATAAAAATTCCCTTCTCGGGAGGCTGCAAAACATCTGCAAAACATCTAAGTGGGCTCCTTGAAATTTGTGTTTTAGAACCCAAACATGGCAATGCGTTGTGGCAATTTTAAGTATGAAATTCATGAAAATTGTTGGTCAAGTCAGCCATCAGCGATGTGGCCTCCGTGTGAAAATGATGATCCCATGGGTAGTCTCGGGGCATGTCCGGCATGTCCCACTTTTAGCCCAGCTTCCACGGCTACCTTGGGAAGGTACTCAGATTCGCTGAGCTTCTGCGCGGTGCTCTCCAGTTTTTCACGGAGGTTCTGTAGAGACGAATCCTCCCCGTGGAGAATGAGCCATCTTTCTGCAACAAACATATAATGTCACTATAAATTAAACTAATTATATATATATGCACATATCATACATAATTATCTACATATTTTTACCTAATCTATCTGATGAAAAAAAACTGACACATGGACACATATAAATATGATGATATAGTCACACATACGGAGAATTCTAGTTCTGAAAAGATTGGTCGAAGGGAAGGCCTACTAGTCCCTATTAATATGCGAGTTTCCGGTAGGTTTCCTCTTAAACCAATCCAATGTTATGATCAATGCTATAGTGCGGCAAACCCAATGCCATAAACCGCGATTTGGATGGTTTATAAAACCTGTAAACATGGTGATTTTGGGGATGATGCATTCATGTTTATTCGGTTTATCAGTTTATCATTGTTTTTATCACATCTTGCGGCATCACCCGCGCCGCTCCAGCTCGTTGAGGAACTGGCGCATGTGCGGCCGCAGTGCCTCCCGCAGCAAGGGCCGAAAGCAGCGAAAGGCGCGAAGCCGCAACGCTGAGGCCTGGGGAGACACTAAAAAACCCAAGGGCATCGGGAAAGGACATCTGTGGAAGGTGTATAAATATATATATATGTAGATAAATGTACATGCTGTAGAGATATGTATAGAGATACATCACAAGTGAGACTGAGAGGATCATATGTATAATAATAATAACAATAATAATAATGTAATAATAATAATAATAAAATAATAATAATAACAATAACAATAATAATAATACTAATAATATATATATATATGTATATCTGTGTGTGCTATTATGCATACACACCAAGCAGCCAGTCTTCAGTTAGGCTTCGATCAAAGATTTTCTAGAAATAATGCGGTTGCCACCCTACCAATGGTTCCCTGCAGCCTGTAGATTATCCTGGATAGAGGATGTGAGCAAAAATGGGGTAGCCGGACTAGGTACCAAACCCCCATGGCCTGAGGTATCCTGAGGTCCCGGCACTGTCCGAGTCGTCAGTTCCCACAGTTCCCACAGCATCTGGCCGTTTTTTAGGCCAGTGCTGGCCCAGGATTCATGTCTCACCACTGGAAGAACCATTTCAAAACATGTCCTGCTTGGATTATATTGTCACTTTTGGGGCTACTAGATGCTACTAGTTCCTTGATCAAACAGGGTTTGTTTACGAAGTTGGATACTTGATGATACTTCACTTCACCACTGCTTTTCAGGTACCTGAAATCCCTGCGAATCCCCATGGTTGATGCTCCTACCACGATTAACATCCCATGCAACAATAATTTACATCCTTACCCACCCCCAAACGGCGGCTACTCTTGAGGCCCAATATGCTGGGAAAACATATATTCATCCCGGTATCAACCGATAGTCCCATTGGTATTTGTTCCACAACCCCATGTTTGACATCATCGAAACCACACAATGAAACGCCGTACCCTGACAAAACCTGACAATAAAAAATGCCGCCTTCCTGAGAATACACCTGTGGTCAAGTCCCAGTTGCTAGCAATCAAAATTTCAATATTCCAAAATATTCCATAATAATAATATTAATTAATATTCCCGTTCTAATGTGTCCAACTCATTTAGAATCGTCTTGTTTGATGTTTTTTGCAGCTAAATCTCCACCTCCGAAACCATCAAAAACCTCCTGCTCAACATCTCTGTAGTCATTCCACCGTTTAGACCCCGCATCTGGACAAAGTATATCAGTTCTCCAGTTCCACAGCAGAAATGTCCATGTTGGGATGGTTCCCCATATGCCACCCATGATTTTGTGGGGCGCCTTAGTCTCAAACATATCCTAAAATCGCATAGGTTTTCCCCATGAGAACCATGTCAATCCGAAGATAAATTGTTTCCCTGCCATTGCCCTAGGGCCTTAGGAGTTCCATCATCCAGCCACATTTGGAATTGCCCAGGACAAAGCCAAAACATAACACCAAATCACTATGACAACCTACAAACCACATCAAATCACCAGGTTTTTACATGTTCTCAACATGTTCTCAACTTGTTTAAACCATGAAATCTTGGCGTTCCCCATGGTTTAAACCATGTCTTCCCTTGGGTTTCCTCTTGGTTCCCCATGGGCGCCTTCCTTCAGCTCCGCCGCGCGCTGCTCCACTTGCAGCGCATCCAGGCCGGGCCACTGCGGCAGACTCGGCTCTTTGGCCGCCTGGTCGCCATGGATTCGATAGGATGGATGGATTTACGATGATTTAAGCAAGTACATATTTTCAAAGAGGTTGCGAACTGGATGGTTAAACCAGCAAGATCATCTTGAATTCGGCACCATGGGGAAAAATCAGTTACAGTTGAAATTGAAGTTATAGCACAAAGGTGTGTATTGAAAAGGACATGGATGACTGACCAGTGGATGGAATATCGTATCCTATGTTCAATCAAGCCAACATGTGCATGGGATAAGAACATCAGATTTAAGCATGTGTTTGGGTTCCAAAACCTGGAGATAACACATTCTTTGTGGACCTTTGTCGTTTTGCGCAGCCAAGGATGCTGCCTTTTGCAACTACGAAAAAAGGTAACAATCTATCTATCCTCTATCGATAGATCGATCTATCACTATCATATCTATCATATCTATCCTATCTATCATATCTATCATATCTATCATATCCATAATATCTATCATATCTATATCTATCATATCTATCATATCTATCATATCTATCATATCTATTATATCTATCATATCTATCATATCTATTATATCTATCATATCTATCATATCCATAATATCTATCATATATATCACAATCATATCTATCATATCTATCATATCCATAATATGTATCATATATATATATATCTATCATATCTATCATATCTACTATATCTATCATATCTATCATATCTATCATATCTATCATATCTATATATCTATATATCTATCTAATCAAATCAAATCAAATGAAATCTAATGTATCCAATCGTTCTAATCTATCCAATATTTCAAATCTATATAGTGGATCTAATCTATCTAGCTATTCTTCTATTATCCTTTTCTTATCCTATCAAATCATATCATATATATCTATTGATCTATATATCTATCTATTTATCCATCTATCCTATCCTATCCTATCCTATCCTATTCCATCCTATCTATCTATCTATCTATTGATCTATTTACTGATCAATCAATCAATCAATCTAATCAATTCAAATCTAATCTAATCTATCTAACTTAAAATATATACCTATATCTATATATATCAATCTGTCTATCTAACTATCTATCTATCTATCGATCTATCTATCTATATATCCTATCTACCTATCTATCCTATCTATCTATTTATCTATCCTATCCTATCCTATCCTATCTATCTATCAATCCTATCCTATCCTATCCTATCCTATCTATCTATCAATCCTATCCTATCCTATCCTATCCTATCTATCTATCTATCTATCCTTCCTATCTATCTATCTATCTATCTATCCTATCTAGCTATCTATCTATCCTATCTATCCTATCTATCCTATCTATCCTATCTATCTATCCTATCCTGTCCTGTCATATCTATCCTATCTAATTATCCTATTTATCCTATGTATCCTATCTATCCTATCCATCCTATTTATCTATCTATCTACCTATCTATCTATCTTTCTATCTATCTATCTATATATTTATCTATCTATCTGTCTATCTATCTATCTATCTATCTATCATTCTGTCTATCTATCTATCTAATAAAATGTAATCTAACTTATCTAATCAATCAAATCCGTCAAATCTATCTAATCTATCTAATATATCTATCTATTTTTTCTGTATCTCTTAACTATCTTATCTATCTTATCCATCTAATCTATCTAATCTATCTAATATATCAAATCTATCTAATCTATCTAATATATCTAATATGGCTATCTATCTTTCTTTCGTTCTTACTTATCTATCTGCCTATCTATCTATCTATCTATCTTCGACCAATCTATTTATATATATGTTTGTCACTCTCATTCTCTCTCTCTCTCTTTCTATCTTTCTACTTACCTATCTATCTATCTATCTGTCTATCTATCTATCTATCTATCGTATTTATCTAATCTATCTAATCTATCTATATATTTACCTATCTATCTATCCGTCTGTTTATCGATCTATCTATCCATTTTTATTTCTTTATTATCTATCTTATCTATCTAATCTATCCAATCTATCTATCTAATATCTAATATATCAAATCCATCTAATCTCTCCAATCTATCTAATCTATCTATCTATCTATCTATCCATCTATCTACATATCTATCTATCTATCTATCTGTCAATCTATCTATCCTCATATAATCTAATCTAATCTAGTCTAGTCTAATCTACCTATCAATCTATCTATCTATGTCTATAGTTTTCTTATCTATCCTATCTGTCTGTCCTATCTTTCTATCCTATCTATACTATCCATCCATCCATCTATCTATCTACCTATCTATCTATCTTTCTATCTATCTATCTACCTTCCTATCTAATCTATCTAATCTATCTACTCTATCTAATCTATCTAATCTATCTATCTATCTAATCTAATTATCTAATTATCTAATTATCTATCTATCTATCTATCTACCTATCTATCTATCTATCTATCTTATCTTATCTTATCTTATCTATCTATCTATCTATCTATCTATATGGATTGATCGAATTGTTTGCACCACCACTGGGATGAAAAACGCTAATCATATCAAATTACAAAATCATGTTGGGCATACCAAGCAGGCTTCGATTAACGTAACATGGGTCTACGATGACAGAACTTTTAGGCCCGGTGATACCCTGTCCCACCTCCAAAATGGCAATGTTTGCCTTCTAGGTTTGATGAACTTCACGTTTCAGTTTCACAGTGCCACCATGGATCGTAATGGTTTGCTGTGCAGCTTTCAAACTTCTTGTCTACCGACATGGTTTGCACCGTTCTTACGATAACCAAAACACAACTAACCCGTAATCAATCCCACACAAAAATATGAAAGTCAATCCAGGTAGGATGGACGAATGTGCATGTTTGGCAAAACAAACACCTCAAACAAACGCCTCCAGGAATTTCTGGAAATTCTCTTTGGCAACTTCCATGTCCTGGCCAGGGCTCTCGGGATGGCTGCCCCTATGCTAGCTAGTTTCAGTGGCAAACCATCTCATCCCCTCGGGCCAGCAGTGCCAAGAATCCTGGCAGGTGGTTATTATCCATGGATCACCAAATTGGATCCAATTGGTATCTTAAATGTGTGAGCCTAAGCTGCAAGCGCGTGTGTTACTTGCCCACCTCTTTGCCTTGGAATCTTCGCAACTGATAGCGGTCCATGGATCTTGTCTTCGAAAAGGGTCGGGGTGTTCTAAACGGCACTTGGACATGGCAAGTGACAGTCCCGGTTTTTCTGTGCTAAGGGGTCTGTTTCTCTAAGTTTTGGAGTGCGTCTAGCTTTGGGATGCTTTGGGCACAAAACGTAAAAAAAGGCACCCACATCAGACTGGGGCGTTCTGACGCTTAAGCATGTTCAACATTGTTCAACACTGGCAGGTCAGGATATGTTGCATACGTTTGATCCCATCTCAGTCCCAAATCTCTCAACGCCAGTTAGTCAAAAACTCACATAATTCCAATTTTTAAAAATTCTGCAAGTAGAAAACCATGTGAAGCCCTTCCCACATATCATCCTCTATCCCACATTTCCCGTTCGCTGCATCCCTTTTGATTCCATCTCAGTCATTAAGGTCAGTGTCACTGCGACTGGATCCACTGTTCGTGGAGCCGTCACTAGTGACTTCCGAGCCAGGGGCCACCGGGGCCAATGCCTCGGCCGACGCTGGCAACGGCGGCAAGGGCGCCCGTTGCTGTTCCGCAGCGAAGAAGCCGTGGGAGCGCAGAGACCACGCGGCAGGCGCACGATTTTCGGGCTCCAATTGGAAATGGCCTATGGGAGTCACGGCGGCAAGATGGGAAAGAGATGGAAATAGAATCTGTGAGAATGGAATGTTGGCAATGAACCATTTAAGGATATTTAAGGATATGGTAAGGAGCCACAAACTGACTCGTGATCGTGGATTTGATCATCATTGAATTCCTTTTGTTGGGTAGCCAACGGCCGACGGATATGGGTCACGATTAATAGGATGGCTGGCGCTAGATAGTTAATAATAACTGATAATATATCACTGATCCATGTATGGTCAGGGCCTTTCATGATCCATACCCATACTATATTCTCAAATCAAGTTCTTGCTATCCAGATAACAACGCTGAAGTGATGTGATGTGTTGCACTTTTCCCTTTTGGAGCAGCAACACATCACAAAGTCAGAGTTTGTGAGTCATGCTAGGCGCCTGCAACCAACAAGAGAATATGCCACATATATGGTAAAGTTGAGCGTATTGATGGTTTAGATATGTTTAGATTCTGCCAACAAAAGCGATCACAAATTAAACACCAACGCGTTGCCAAATAAGTGGAATGGATAAACACACACACATAAACATGGCCAGTGCGTAGTTATAGGTATAGTTGTTTTATTAAATATGATGAGTACATCTTGGAGCTGTATCATGCTGTATCAAATGGCAGTTGCACTGTCCTCATCTATGGTTCCAAAAGTCACCCATCATGTGTCATCCCCAGTGATCAACCATCTTCACACCATTTTGATGCATGTTGAACTTGTTTAGCCCATTTTGCCCTTTGGGCCGTATGAAAACCAAGGTCCCAACCATGGTAACCATGGCTTGTATATATATATATATATACCATCGGCTCCCGGCCCATCGTCTCCAGCGGCTGTCCAAAACCCAGTGGCAAAACATGAGGTGGACCGCTGCTTCGGACAAGCCGGGAGGATAGCGCACATCGGCTGCAAGAACCTTCTGGCGGATTTCCTCTTGAGACCCCCAAAAGGGTTGATGGCCCACCAGCACCTCATACATCAGGCACCTCGGACGAGAAGAGTGACATTTGGCAAAAAAGAGCATGAGCACCCACCAGTCAACATGACCGGCTGGAAACCATGGGATCTTCAATTGCAATGTTTGATTTCCATGGTGAGGTGGCAAAGACATGTTTTGACGTGAAGTTTTCGTAATGATGTGTCAATATTGGCCTGTAGCTGGTAATCAATTCTATTTTGTTCAACTCTTTGCGCTCTTTGAAGCTTATGGGTTTCATTGTGTTGACACCGGCCGCCAAACACAAAACGAATCAGCAACGCTGCCACAGCCATACCATATCTGTATGGCGAATTGACATGTACGCCTAATCCATACATGTGGGCAATCTTTGGGGTACTTGAATGCAGGTATAGTCATGTGCTAGTACATACATTGCGCATTGTCATTTATCTTGATAGCGGGCAAGCGACCCGACGGCCCAAATGTCCGTGTAGTATCCCTGCGGGCTTCTGTTCCACTGCTCCGGAGCCCAAAACTCAGGCGTTCCACAGGTTGTGAGCAAGGCCCTCTCAGCGGAACATTCTGCACTCCATCCGAAGTCACAAATGCGAACTTCTAGATCCGGATGTGTCAGAAGGATGTTATCTCCTGCTCTTGCTCCATCTTGGCTCAAGGTCAGCTATGTTTTATGAATTTGTTGGACCCATCGGCAAGAGAAAACCATGATAAACCACCTAAGTTTAAAGAGAGCAAAGACAGAATCAGTTACCCGAGTCAGTCGCCCCAAACGTCCGAGTCAGGAACCCCATGGGACAAAATCAGTCACCGGTGAACACTAGTACAGGATGCAGGGAAACCAGGAAGAGGAGACAGAGAGTCAGCAACTGAGAGTCAGTCACCCCTCGGAAGCCGGGAAGAGAATCAAGGAACCCGGAGGAAAACAGAAAGTCAACAACAAAGAGTCGGTCACCCTGGAAGGAGAATCCAAGAACCCGGGGAAAACAGAAAGTCAACAACAAAGAGTCAGCCGCTCCTGAAAGCTGAAAGCTGAAAGCTGAAAGCTGAAAGCTATCTATCTATCTATCTATCCATCCATCCATCCATCCATCTATCTATTTATCTCTCTATCTCTCTATCTATCTATCCATCCATCCATCCATCCATCTATCTATCTATCTATCTATTTATCTCTCTATCTCTCTATCTCTCTATCTATCTATCTATCTGTCTGTCTGTCTGTCTGTCTATCTGTCTGTCTGTCTATCTGACTATCTGTCTATCTGTCTATCTGTCTGTCTATCTATGTATCTTTCTATTTATCTATTAATCTATTAAGGGACATGGGAAAAACGGAACGTCAACAACAAAGAGTCTCTCAAGAAACCTTCGCGCAACCCTAAAGAAACCCCAAAGCAACACTAAGTAAAGCCTAAACCAACACTCACGCAAACCGTGACAAAACCCTACATTAACCCCAAACCCAACCTAAATAATCCCTACACCATTCTTAAAATAAATCCTGACGAACCCCTTATTAGCCCTAAACAAACCCCAAAGAAACCCTAAACCAACCTGAAATATACCCTAAACCAAGAACTAAATATACCCTAAACGAAACCTAAACAAACCCTAAACCAACCCTAAATAAAAACATTACCCATTAACCCGAAATCCGACATTAACCATTATATAACCCAAAACTAACCTCAAATAAAACCTAAACCAAGCCTGACTGTACCCTACACCAAGCCGAAATAAACCCTAACCCAACCCTCGCACAAACCCTGATGAAACTCTAACTTAACTTAACTTTAAACCAACCCTTGAAAACCCTAAACCAGGCCTAAATAAATCCCAAACCAACGCTAAGTAAACCCTAAATAGACCCTAAACCAAACCTTGACGAAACCCTACATTAGCCATAAACTAACCCTAAACAAAACCTAAATCAAGCCTGAATATACCCTAAATCAAGCCTAAATAACCCTTAACCAACCAACCCTTTAAAAACCCTAAACCGTTTAAACCAAGCCTAAATAAACCCGAAACCAACCTTAAAACAAATCCTGACGAAACCCATTACCCTAAAGCAACTCTTGAAAACAAACTCTAAACCAAGCCTAAATAAACCCCACACCAACACTAAGTCAATCCTAAATACACCCTAAAACAAACCATGAGGAACCCCTGCAGAAACCTTAAACCAACCCTAAAACCAACCCTAAATAGACTACATCTTGAAACAAGCCTGAACCACCCCTAAAGAAACCATGTCACTTTGATGGCCCACGAGGCAGGCCGCAGGGCAGCAGTGGGGCTGTGGAGGGTGACTGACTCCGACGTGGGGGGTGATTGACTCACTGTGGTCTGACTCTGCTAGTGGGTGAAAGATTCCGTCTGGTCTCAGTTTAGAGAGGTCAGGGCCTGAAAACAAACAAATGAAGAATCTAGACCCAACTGTCATTTAGACAGGTATCTAGACCCCAGAATAAACCTAAATGAACCAAACATGAAGCAACTATCGCAATAACGTGCATGGGATCTCGACTGTTGGGCCCCTCCTTTCAGGTCGCGATGGACCACGCCATGATTGTGCATATGCTCAACCCCCTGCAGGATCTGATAGAAGAAGCGTGCAGCATTCGGCTCAGGGAGTCTTTTCAGAGGCTGAGCATGACAAAGAGAGCGCAGAGTACCACCTCCACAAAAATCCAGGAGCATATACACATACCTGGATGCCAAGCTGGAACCCACTTGGAAAGCAATGCGAGTGGGGCCAACTATGGCCAACTCCTCCCATTCTAAGGAATAGCTGGGCACCAAAACCATTTCGCCAAAGTCACCGCAGATCCATAAACCAGGAACTTTGCAGCAAAACTATAAACATCTAAGAACCATGAAATATGCCAACATGTCCTAACCCAACATTTGAAGGGACAACAACAAAAGGAGAAATCCAGCCAGATACATGGGGTCCTCCACAATTGACACCACCCTCAAGATATGCTTGTGTCGCAAGGAGTTCTGGATTCCCAGTTCCCTTTTCAGCTGGGGCATCATATTTCGCACCTCCAAGTGGGGACCCAGGGATTTCATGGGGATACTGCAGATAGGAAAAACACATATGGGGAACTCATATGGGGATGCCAAGTTAGAGGTATGTCATTTTTTTGGACCTATGTATACTGTAAAAAAACTAGTCCTCCAACTGCATCCACGTATTTCTGGCTTGCCAGCCTTGAAACCCTGTAGAATATGATATGGTGGGTTCAAAAATTAAAGCAGCCACAAAATGGATTGGATTGGAACTGGCACATGCCTCAACAAAATGCATTTCTTTACTTTTCCTGCGCAAAAATCTAAAGTCTAAAGAATCATAAAGAATCCAAAGGGATCTGAAGGTATGTATGACTCCTTGGGCTACACCCAGACCTCCAAGGGCTCTTTCTCAAGGATCTTCAGGGCATAGGCGTGGCCCGAAGTGGCATGGCGCAAGCATCTCACCGACGCATATGCGCCCGAGCCCAAGTGGAGGCGACTACTCACATCCGGTACAAAGCCGCTGGCCAGCAACTTCCTGGGACGGTGAGACAGCACCAAACAAAAAGGAACAAACATGTTGGCGCATTTATATATTTCAAAAGCACTTTCATATATACTACTGATATAATATAGTTTTTATATATCCAGTTGGATAATTAGAATAGAAACTTGGTGTCACTTGAGAATCGTCCATACACATTGGCGCGTGTTTGGGAAAGAATTCAATACTCACTCATCCTTCTACAGATAGAACATCAGCATAAATGAATTATATTTGAACTTGAACATATTACCATACCATACCATGCTTCGGTGGCAGCAACGGAGGCGGCCGGGTCAAACAATTTGCATTCTGCTGCAGTGGCAGCCGTGGCACTCCCATGACCCGCTGGGGAGTGGAACCACTGCGCCCAGCGCCCTGGCCGTCAGGGTCCAGCATGGCTATGCTGTGAAAACCTAAGTGACGCACGTGCACCGGCACGATGGGCTTCGGAGTATGCGAGGCCGGCGGGGATCGCTGGAACTCGGCTTTCTCCTGAGATCGTGCGAAGACTTCTGAGTTTACCAAATTTTGAGAATCCGTCCCCCAAAATAATTAAACACCATTTAGGGGGAATTTCCCAAACAGGGGCAAGTATTACACAATAATCAATATAGTGCCTAAAACATCTGTATTTGCAGTATTTTATTATCATTTTTCATGAACATTCACCCCCCCACGCGGGTCCACGAAGCGCCGCTCTCTAATCACTCTAATCAATTCAATATCTCTTTGTAAGGCGGGGTGGGTTGGGAGTGTGACATGACCCCGGTTCTTGACCCATCGAACATCGCAGCTCCTCAGTACCATTGACGGAGTCAACTGGTTCTGGAGAAGCGGCTGGAGGCGAGACTTTGTCAACCGGCTCACAGACGTCATTTGGCTCTGCCTCCACCTGGCGGGGCAGCTTTCACAATATATTGTCCATCAAACATAATGTGTTGAACCCATGTAACAAGGTAGCATGTTTGTTTTTGCCCCATCTGTTTGGTGAAGTGGCGACCGGGATGCCACATTATAGCCGCAAAGGATATCCACTTCATAGAGGAACGTGCATTGGGAAATTACTAATATATATATATATATATGCCATACACCTGTTTCTAAAAAATCGGGATTGATTACAATTCAGTCTTGCACACTGCTAATATGGCTCCGTCTAAACAATTAAAATTGCGCCGTTTCAGGTTTAGCCTTTCAGCCAGTCTGTATTGGGATCAACACTAATATAGCCTCCAGTGAATTAACATAGACCCTGACAACAAGCCACTTCGAGCGGAAACAAATTTTCCAACCCCCAACCGAAGGGTAGTTGGAGGATGGTATCTACCAGTTTCCTATGGGGTTGGTCCCCACCTTTTTCTCCTTTCTTCGCTTCTGCTTTGGCTTCTTGTTCGGCGCCATTGCGGACCCTGGAAAAGACAACCCTGGACGTTTGAGCCGAATTCGCAACGGACCCTGAGATAAGGGAACTCCCCATCCAAAGTTTCGCTCGCAGATCTACACGTTGGAACCTGCCAACTTGAAATTGTAAGATGATTCAAGATGATTCAACCTCAGGCATACAGTTTCCATGAAAGGCAAGTTCCCAGATCTTGCCAGGCATTTTCCATACGTGTAAAAAAGCCTGCACTCACAAAATGCCTAGCCATCGGTACAAGTCATGCAATTAGGGTGGCCCAAAAAATAAAGCAACTATACAAGAAGTTCCATACCCCATTTACCCTCCGGTCGTGGCTGGCCGGGAAATCCCCGAACTAAATGAACATTCAAATGACAGTGCCGCATCCAACTCAATGGAGGATTTTCCAGCACGCCATGTTTGGAGCTGATGCGATCCTGGATCCCCATGGATCCCCGTCCTCTGTGTAAGGCCACTGAAAGGGAATCTGCAAAGTCACCCAGGTCAACAAGGCCTCGGAGTCCTCACACCAAACATGGCTTGCCATCTCCACTTGTTGATTGGAAAAGGAATGAAGCTTGAGAGAACAAACATGAAGTTGACATGATTCTTCTGAAAGTTATTCTTGGGATATATGATATATCACATTATATGTTGCTTTGATGTTTCAATTTGAATAATCGTTAATGTTAATATATGTTCCTCCTGTAGTCTATGTGCTTTAAGTTTTAAATTATGTCAATTGATGTTATTATTGTGTTATTCCAAGTTCTTTGTAACATACATTCTAAATTGTTTACTTACAGCATTTGATTCTTATAGTTTGGATTAATGGTCCCAACAACAAATCCCCAACATTGTGATATTCCCAATTGCCTCAGGCAGCTCAGCTGGCAGGGCCGAGCTGGGCGCAGCTTCGCTCAAGGCTTCAAAGAGCCAAGCATTGAAAGCCTGCGACAAGGTGGGCTACCCCCAATCACTCTGACGATTTTTTTAAAAGGTGTATCGACATAACGTGATATAACTGAATGCCAATAACTCAGTTGATGGGATATATATACATATATATATAGATAAAGTGAATGAGGTGTTTCAACAATTAAACTTGATTAACTCTTGGGGCAAAAACGCCAGAATCACTCAGGAGTTGAGTTCATATTGGTTCAATCCTCGGGCTATGCATCTTGGGGCTTCTATCTTCAAAACAAGTCTTGGAACCTATATCTATCGACATCCTCTTCAATGGATATTAGATAAGTTGTGTCTGAAAAGATGGAAGCCACAAAATTTTAATCAAAATTCATCAAGTATCTATTGAATCTATTGAAATCGCACTTGGTATCTATCTAAACCCCCATTCTACCTTTAAGACTTCAAGACTAAACCAATGAAATCCCAACTTCGAGTGCAGCTTCGCGCCTCCGCAGGTGCCTTGCGGCCCCACGACTTGCGCCAGAGTTGGCTGAAGTCCTTCCTGCTTGCCAACACAGCCTATGCTAATGCCACATTTAGTGGGATGACTTATGAACTTTTATATCCTTTTAGCCATCATGGGTATATCTTAAATTACCAGAGGCTAGATTTTCCTGGAAGCCTGGAGCAGCCTGCTCACCCTCATGTTCATAGCTTCATTGTCTGCAGAAGCTTGTAGAATATGTTGTAGTAATGGAAAAGTGTCCATTTACCCACTGAAGCTGTGATTTACTGAAGATGAACAGCTTGGATTTTGACATCACCATGGTGCTGGTATATTTGGTATATTTGTGCGCCTACATCTGCTGATGACTTTTGGAGATACAGGTAGTAACTATAACGGTAAGACCCCACATCATTTAGGCAATGACATGGGACATGGGAGTAGGCAACCCCAGTTGAGGCGTTTACAACCCAAATTGTGTATATATATATATATGTATATATATATATGTGTGTATATATATATATATTATATATATGTGTGTATATATATATATGTATATGCCCTGTAATTATTTAAAAAAAACAAGCTGTTTGAGATAAACTCACCCCTAAACAGTCGATTGTGGCAAGGATCAATGTGGATTCCCTGAATCATGGAAGGATGCAGCATGATGCAACTCAAGGAGAGTGTGCATCCCGGGCCGGGAACATGTTCAGCAGCCAAGGTCCCAGTTTTCCATTACAAACCCATCCCACCAAATCAAGGTATTCAATATGAGGGAGAGGGGATTCCTCCAAACCGGCAAAAAAAAGCATGTCTGATGATAAACCCATCCAAAGAACCTCCTCCACTCCAGTTTTGTGGGATTTGTCCCTATTGGGTTCCGGGGTTAGTAAATTATCATGGAAAAAGGACGTCTCATGCCCCACCAAGACCTGAACATGTTACAGTAATTCATGTTGATTCACTCTTCATTTCCAGCAACGATATCCTTCCTGACCCAAAAAAAGAGTTGGTTTGGCATGAAATGTGTAATCCTTCTTTAACTACTCGAATTCTTCACTTTGGGGGGGCCCAAAGTAAAAATCAACCAATGGGAAAAGGATCTTGCATCCAAATGCCAAACCCAGGTCCTCAACTCAGAAAGGGCCACATAGCTGTAACACTCCTTGAAAGCAGCTGCGCCTGCAGCAATGGTCATCTATGGTCATCTGTGGTGCTGGCTGTTTCCCACATTTTTCGTGTGCTGGCAGCAATCCAAATCATGGTGCTACATGTAATTCAAAAGAATAATCCTTCCCCCCATGAAGTACCCTCCAGACTGTAGAATAGGGACACCAAGTCGAGAATATATAGATTTCCCCAGCTGAACCTTTTGTGGTATTTATACAATTATCATTATAAAGTAATCAACAGGGACGCAGAAATGCCAATGGACATGGTAAATCCGTATCCTGGCAATGGAAAGTCAATGATTCTGAGAAGACGTGGCTAATTAATTTCTGCAACCCCATGTCATATTGGTGTGATAAATTTCCATGTGGAACCTCCTTGATTACAAAAAATAGGATGGAATCCAAACACTGGGATCCCATTTTTTTTTCCGGTGCATGCGCGCGGGTGACTCGGCTCAGCAGGTGTGAGCCACGCAGCTAAGGCGAGCGTGAAACGAAAGCGGCAGGCGGCTTGGATCCCAAAAATCATTTTATATAGAGTGCATGCTATGTTGCCCTGTTTGGGTTGTATGTTGAACTACATTTACATGGTGTACAGAAATGTCATGAAAATCCGATTAGCAAAAACTGGGATTCTGTCAGCGTAGTTGATGACTAATTTTTGATAATGCTATTGAATATATACTGCTATTGCGTGGTTCATCACATACTATCCGATTGAATCATATCCATCGAATAACATTAGTATGCTCAACATTTATTAATATAGTCATATATCATATATCCACGCAAATTATCCACGCAAATTACCATCGAATAATGTGATGGTTATCCCATAACAATAACACCACAACAATGTTATCACATTCCATCATCTCATATGTATATAATATATATATACAATCATATATATATATATATATCAAATCAAATCATATCATATCATATCATATATATATATGTACTCTTATGCCATGCAGAGAACAATAATTTAAGATCATGTTACGATCATATATCCATTCTTCTCGGAGATACCTATCCGTCATGGCGCCATTTTTTCTACACCGCCACGCCGTCCCAGGCCGCCACGGCCGCTTCGTAGCCACCGAAGGTGGCGGCGTTCACCACCTGGGCGGTAAAACGATGAGACACGGCCGTGCCCGCGACAAAAACGGGGTGCTAACATGATCTAACCGTATCTAACCACAAAGATTTGGGAATTTGAAGGGTGAGCTCACGCATTCTGAACTGAATGCTCTGAATGGTGGGAGTTAGATAAATGGACTTGTAGCAGAACCGCGATTCAAGATGCCAGATTAAATTTCTACAAGATATGTCAGATTTCCAACAACAAATCTGAGTTTTTGTGAATATAATTTCGGCCTGTACACCGTGATATGCGATGATATGGGCGTTATAAACGGTCCTCTAGATAGGATTAGATAGGTACGTTCAAATCTGTAAGCATCCATTTGGCGGATTCAATTGGGTCAAACCATAGCTCCTATTAAATCTTATTAATAGTTCCCTCCGTTCACCATCGAATAGATCGACTGAGCTCTATACTTCTTGGCTTTGTCTGAAAAATACCGCCAAATTCCCCTGGTTATTCGAATTTTTGCACGTACCAAATAATTACCCGCTAAAATTGTAATTTTGGGGAGCATACCCCATGGCCCCATGGTACACGCACCCAATATTATATTATTGGTGGCTATATATCCCATGAAATATCTCAAACATAAACAACTGATTGGTGGCTGAATCCCAATGTCCCATGACATACTGACATAGCCCATGAAATATCTCATGACATATGTCCCATTGGCAATGTGACATAGCTATGGAAGCCATGCACCATTGACTTCGATACGTTACCTAGCTAGAAAATGATGGCGTGATGACGTTCCACTTTGCAAACTATTGAAACTTCTGGAAATATCAGTAACTCACCCATATATCACCCATATTCCATACGAACATTCCATGATCCCCCCATTGAATCCCAAGGCGCGAAGGCGCGCGCCATGGCGGCCCCAAAGCCTCGAAGGAAGAAGGCCAGGCCCTCGCGGTGCAGACCCTGGCGGATGACGTACAGCGGCGTGCGCTCCTGGCGACGGGACCGGACGGCACCAGACGGCACCAGACGGCACCGGACGGCACCGGATGGCCTGGGGATGGCCTTGGATCATTCGAAGTTTTTTGATGTGTTCGTGATGTTTTTTGCTGGGTGTTGGGCCTGTTGGGTGTTTTGAAGTGAACCTTTGGTTGGTTTTCGGTGAGTTTGTTGGATTTGTTGTGCGTTTTTGTTAGTTTGATGGTTTGAAGGTTTTCAGGCACTTGAGCTGCACACATTCATTGATTTTACATGATTTGATTAATGATTTTACTGGGGTGTTGATGAGTTTACCCCACATATCCATACATATCCATCCATTGCATGTGAAAGTACGTCGGATTTCGTGGTGGGAAAGTGGTGCATGCATGATACTTGCGGAGAGGTTTTACATTTCTCGGGGCAGCACGGGAATCCCTCTGCAACTGGAGAACCAAGACAAAAAAAACTAGGGAATACTGGGGATATCCCATTTCAAATTGTGGAACTCGTGAACTATAGGAGTCACTTTCCATTCCGAAGATACAGATCCAATGGGAATATGTGGGAATTTTGTAGTTCATCAACAGCTTTAAGAATTAGCCTGCCATGAGCGATGCACCTGCAAGCATGGCCAATCTTGGATACCCTGCAAACAACCAAACGTCGCATCCCAAAATCTCCCGTGAGACAGCACTCCTGGTGGCTGCAAGAGGTCGGCAGTGCCTGGATACGCGACTTCACCACCTCCACCGGGTGGATCATTCCTGGGGCGGCCATGGCAACCCCTAAAAATCGGGCTGGGAAGATCGGTCGCCCCTGATTGATGGCCATGTTGTTTTTGTTTATTTTTTTGTTTGTTTTGAATACTGTTGAAATTGCACTGGAAGGGGGTTAGTGCAAGATTTCTAGCCCACCACTGAAAAACGTGGAGTGTATCCATTGATGCAAAACATGAGACAACCAAATGAATATCAAAGAAGGAGCGTGTCTACATGCACAGGTTGTTTTCAACCTGGGCATATGTTGGCCAAGGTAATTTGAATCAAAACTGCTGACCTGTATATAATTATACACATCTGAAACTGCATCCACCATCACAATCCATCACCATTGTTTGCTTCAAACCCGTGGCTGATTTGCTGTCAAAGTCCCATCTTTTGTCGGCAAAACCCCCAAACCTGGCAATCAAACATCTATTGTACACTAATAGCTGATGTATGATGATTCTCCCCAGCATGTTATACGTGGATACCCTTGCAGGTCAGAATACTAAATGGTAAACCGTGGTTAACCCATTAACATTGCTCTTTTGGGGGTAACCCCTATTTCTGGACAAAATTTGAACAATGGCTAACCCAATAAGTAGGGACATTCCATATCTGAGTGGTTTGTAATGTGCTTACGTGCTTAGTATAGTTGATCAAGACACAGGGAAAATAACAATGTTCTAACCCATAGTCCGATTTAACCCGCACATCATGTACTATAAGTAGACATCATTTCACCAGAACTCGACTTAGAGAAAAAACTTATATAGTGATAACGTAATCTTACATATAACTTGGGTTTTCGACTGTTAAATATATATATATGAGCAATCTCGAAAACCCTAGGTTCACGGAAAGGACATCCACAAATTTGGGAAGGTCCCATCGCTTACCATACGTTTGTACAATAATGATATCTGGTAAACTTGGGGGGTATCGCTTGCAGGAAACTGCTACATATATGTGTGTGTGTATGTATATATGTATATTATTCACAGAAATCAACGTCCAATTTGGGTATCTCTAATGTGGATATTAGAGAAATACAATGACATAACCTTGAAAAGGGGTATCGCCTATTTGGGAAGGTCCCATCGCTTACCGTGTGTTTTTAACAATTTCCATCAACCAATGTCCGTCCAATACATATTTAGTATTGCCGGGGCTTTTGCGGTGGCTCATATATATAGCACTATAATATACATAGCTAAGCAACTGGGATTTCCCCTTGCGGCCGAAGACTCCCAACACCACGCAGCCGGCCAGGCCGCCCGAGAGCAGCGTCGCCGGGACGGTGGGAAGGTGCCCTTCGCTGAGGCGCTTCGATTGCTCGTAGACCAAGAAATAGACCTGGGAAAAGGGCGTGGACCGTTTGACCATGTTGGACCAGTGTATCCCCAAACGGGATGGATACATAGAGAGAGAGAGAGAGAGATAGATAGATAGATAGATAGATAGAGAGATAGAGAGAGATAGATAGAGAGATAGATAGATAGATAGATAGAGATAGAGATAGAGATAGAGAGATAGAGAGATAGAGAGATAGAGAGATAGAGAGAAAGATAGATAGAGAGATAGAGAGATAGATAGATAGATAGATAGATACATAGATAGATAGATAGATAGAGAGAGAGATAGATAGATTAGATTAGATTAGATTAGATTAGAAAAGATCAGATAGATAGATAGATTAGATAAGATAAGATAAGAAAAGAAAAGATTAGATTAGATTAGATACATAAATAAATAGATAAATAGATAGATAGAACAATAGATAGAAAGGAAAACATAGCATAAGATTAGATTAAACAAGATAAGATAAGATCAGATAAGATAAGATTAGATTACAGTAGATAGATAGATCAATAGATAGATAGTTAGACAAACAAATAAATAGATCGATAGATAGATATTTAGTTAGTTAGTTAGTTAGTTAGTAAGTTAGTTAGTTAGTTACTTATTTATTTAGTTAGTTAGTTAGTTTAGTTAGTTAGTTAGTGAGTTAGTTGGTTAGTTAGTGAGTGAGTGAGTGAGTGAGTTAGTTAGTTAGTTCGTTATACATGTAAGCGATATATGTATATATATAAATATATTTATAGAGAGAGAGAGAGAGAATAGTATGGGGTACTGAATACTGTATGTATCCCTTGTAAGCGTGGAACCACTATTACCACTATTCGAATCTCTACTCCAAGATGATCCAATAACGCGGCAATGGCCAAGGGACGCCATAGGAGGGGCATTCCTGAAGGCCACCAAGGCATGATCAAGGGCTTGAAAATGAAAATTCGTCAGCCAAGGCAACCAGCAAATGCACATATATACGTATATATATACATACGTATATATATACACAAAGATTATATCTATATATGCACATATATATATAATATGTATACCTATATATATATATATGTATAAATGTATTATATATATATATATGTGTTGGGAATGTGCACTTTTTATTTTGCAAAAAAAAAACATCGACTTATCTTGGCAATTGAGCGCTGGGATTTTTCGGCTCAAGGCGCTTGGGATTGGCAGTGGGAACGGGTTGGAGGTTGGTACAAATCCGGTAAAGTCATTCACCTACATGTTCCTATAAAATCATTGTCATACATGTTCAAATCATCTGGAGTTGCTTGAGGGCCCCGTCCAAAAGAGAGAACCGACTCTGTCGCCTACAGCCCCCTAGATCACCCCGTTCTCCTGGAGCGGTCAAGAGAACAATTAAACAAAACATAGCAACCACGCAAACCCAGGGAAACAAAACCATATCATCTTACTCTGGATACGATAATCTGGTTGGTGGTTTAACCCATCCCAACACATCCATCCATCCCACACCATCTCCGACCCGTGCCTTTAGTGCTGTGGGGCCTAAGCCCTGAAACGCCCCGCGCCGTAGCCCGACGTCTGAGATGCGACTCCTTGCGATGCAACCAGGGAGTAAGAACCACTTTGAAAACAAACAAAACAAAGCAGTCTCAAAAAAATCGACCAACACAACAGTAACTAGGTATATTGTTGACCAAAGACTCCAAAATTCTTAACCCTGCGAGATTTTCAGACACCCGCTGTCGCGTCCCGCGTCACGACACTCTGACAGGATACGTAAAGCCATTGCAATCCACATATATCCACATTAGGGACAAAATCCTAGAAACGGAGACAATCAAAAAAGGGACAGCAAGGCAAAGGCCTCTTGTTTATGTCATGGTAGCCAAATGCAAACAATCTTTAGATGTTCAAAGTTGTCCAAACATCTCCGTGAGAACAAACAACCGTTTTCGAACAGTTCCCTCCAAACATTTCCCTCCATGATTTCATGAGATGATTTGGGCGGGTTTCAAGGGTTCAAACACACCTCTTGAGCCCTGCCTGAAAATGCCCACGGGTGAATCACCGTGCCACCCCAGCTGCACCTCGACCGCAAAAAGCGTCCAAGTCTAAAAGCGTCTAAAAAGGGTCCAACAGTCACAAGTCCCAAAGTTCCCCGAGGAAACTTCTCTAGAAATTGAACAACTGAGAAACAATGAGAAAGCAAATGCATCGAACCCTTCATGATTTTGGAATGCTTTTCATAGATGAAATGAAATGATACCACATCTTATCCTTGCAGCATCTTGCAGCCGGGTCCCTGCACGGTCCTTGATGTCAACCAACTTGACAAACATCCACAGCATGCAACCAGCTTCATGGAACCAACCATAGTAATGCCCATAGATGCCACAAGGGGGAACACTCATGGAACGTTGTGGGTATACAGAAATTCAATAATTACACAAAATAGATCAAATAGAAACAACATGTTGCCTTGTATGCGTTTTTTTTCTTGAAAAGGCACCCCATTGCACGTTGAGCCGATACCAACTACAACGTCGCCAAATGAGTATGAGTGCAACCACACCCGCTGATACAAGCCGACATGCACTCCGACAAAGCATGCAAAAACAATCTCGACAATAATGCCAGTTCTTTACACACCACCACCACCATCAACAACAACAACCACAACAACAACCACAACAACAACAACACCAACAACACCAACAACACCACCACCAACAACAACAAAAACAAAAACAACAAAAACAACAAACACAACAAAAACAACCAAAACAACAAAAACAACCAAAACAACAAAAACAACAAAAACACCACCTCCACCACCACCACCACTACCAACACCACCACCACCACAACCACGACCACCACCACCACCACCACCAACAACAACAACAACAACAACGACCACGACCACGACCACATAAAAACAAAGACGACAACAACGTCAAAAACGGCGACAACAACAACAACAACAACAACCACAACGACAACGACAACCACAACAACAACCACAACAACAACGACAACAACAACAACAACAACCAACAACGACCAACAACAACCAACAACAACCAACAACAACCAACAACAACCAACAACAACCAACAACAACCAACAACAACCAACAACAACCGACAACAACCAACAACAACCAACAACAACCAACAACCAACAACCAACGACAACAACAACAACAACATCAACAACATCAACAACATCAACATATGAGATTATCATGTTTTTTGGTTCACTATGTTAAATTATCTCTAAACAAGGAACACCGCAGGAATTCGTGACCAATCACCACCCCGTGGGGTTCCCAAAACCAGGCCCAAATGCACCAGTTTGAGGTGTCGGTGTTTGGAACCATATATGGACTTCATGCTGCATATTACAGTTATATTTTTATATTTGTATATATAAATGATTAAATTTAAATATTTATACGAATATTCACCCATCATCACCGGTTGATCATGTCTATAGGTCGCTATTTTGAATCGCCGCATCCCGGGGGCACCTGCCGCTGCGTCTTCACCAGATCCACAGTGCAAACCAGGGGGCTCTGCGCCAAGCCCGCGATGCAGCCGGCTACAAAGCCTGAAGGCGGCTCGAAATTCTGCCAACCATTTTGGATTTCAAAGGACACTTGTGGTAATTCTTTTGGAGGAATTGGTGATGGTTGGTGGTTTCAACCCAGCTAGAAAGAAATGGTGGATCCCGATCCCCATCTTTAGTCAAGGATTCACCATCCTTAGGATGGAACATAGCATGTGCCTCAAACTACTCAGGCCGTGTTTGTTTGAGATATTTATGTGATAAACAAAATGATCTATAGCCTCTAGCTATACAGAGCTCTTTAAGTGATGGGCATATCTGAATGATTCAACTCATCACATGTTCTTGGGGTCCATACTAAAACAATATCCACTTTGATCAAACTCCGACACAACAGGAAGAATAAGCAGAAAATAGGCAATAGTCTGCTTATGATTAGTTTATTTTCTTCAATCATGGGTTGTCGTGGATAGTGTGATGTTCACTAATTTGGATCACGATGTCCAGGGGGATGGATGGCAATTGTCCAGTTATGTTTGAAACTACCAAACAATAAAAGATCGGAGAAGATTTTGAAGACTCTACTGTTCATTGATGTTCATTGATACTCACTTTCATGTCAAGATATGTCAAGATATGTCCTGTGATGGCGGAATGGTATAGACAATGAAACGGGCAACACACTCGGATTGCGCCTCCCTCCCTTCTCAAGACTCTTGGAACCGATCCACATTTGTCATCACCAAACCTGCTCATGATCCCCATGAAACCATACTTGGTATGACCCTATATGACCCTCAAATCAAACACATTCTTGGATCTTGGGATATCTTGGGGTTATGTGCATCCTCACTTTGGAAGGCTGACGCCTTCATGCTTTGCTTTTCAAATCCCAATGTTTGATGTTTGACGATTTTTCATCTTGCCGTCTCATACCATGTCACGGACCAGCAAACGATTAATTGGATTATTAGTGTATTATTGTTCATCAAGTGATCTTATCTTACCTGATATCCTCATTTCCTAGCGGCCAAATCCCCATGCTCAATCATTTTCACCCGGTGAACCCCCATCTCAGACCAAGGGGATCCAAGGGGCCTGTAAGCATTGGCCTCTCTTCGGACCAAAGGCTTTTTAAGGCACGCTCGCTGATGCCCTCGACACCGAAGACCACGGCATTCAGCAGGGCCTGAGTGGGCGGGGCCTTAATGCGGAAGAAACGAGGAAAGGACATGCAGATTGCATATATGGGGGTTTCCATTAATGGGATTACCCAAAAAATCCCCAAATAGATGGTTTATATTTATAATGGACAATCCTATTGAAATGGATAATTTGGGGGCATCCCATTTCAGGAAACCTCCATATTAATCCCATCCCATCCCTTTAATTTTGGCATTTAAGTGCTTCTCCAAATAGGCGAAATCAACATCCCTTCAATTCAAGCTGGAACCTGAAGTGACGTCAAACCGTCCAAATCCTGTTGTACTACTGGGATCTATTTACCGCGTATGATACTGCTGCTGGGTCCAACCCCAACCTTTGGCGCCCCAAACCCCTACTCTTGCCGTGTGGCAGTGCTGCAAAGCGGGAAGGAAAGGCCTGGCCCGTGTTGAAGTGGTCTGTCCACCCAGGATTGATTCGGGCTGGGAGTTTCATGACACAGAAATTGAGGGTCCATTTATATTTCGAGATGATCTACCTATAAACAATTGTGATTTTCCACAACTATGTTAAATTACCGGAAGGTGGTTGGCGGATATATACATAATTTTGAATTAATTTAAATAGATTTGGCTTATACTGATCCTCTCACTATCTCCCCATCGCCATCTCCTATATACTGATCTGAGCTTGCCATTTGTCCTTAGCATGTTCCCACAAAGGTACTGACACCCAAAGGTACGGACACCCACAAATACATGCGTTGTTTTCAGGCGCACACGTTTCTTGATGTAAGGTTATACCCCTCAACGGGCCACAATGGATCAAACCTCTCTCTCTCTCTATTTCTCTCTCTCTCTCTCTCTCTCTTTCTCTCCCCATCTCTCTGCATCTCCGTCTATCATCTTCTCAAGAATCCAATTGTTTTCAACCAAATCAAATCTAGTATTGGTTTATGGTGAACCACCACCAGAAAGTGGTGAGTCGCTGGTCGTTGGGGATTTGGAGTTTTCTCCCATTTGCAAGGCGCCGCCACAATTAAAATCATGTATCGTAATTTTCATCCAAAAGTTGCCATAATATCAATAAGTTTGTAATGAACCATCATGTTTCCAAAAATTGGCTGTAAAATCAGTGCTGGTCCATAGTTCAACCCAAAAACCAAGATTCAAATTTTGAGTTTCTATAGAGAAACAAACGGTAACCAATGATATCTCAATATATATATAAAACAATGATATATAAATGAGCGTAAACAACATTTGCCATGTAAATCCATAAAATGGAGGTTTCCTAAAATACAGCTTGAATATTGTACAAGAATGCGCTGTATAAGAATTTGAGGGGCTCGGTTCCAAGATGGGCTATATATTTTCAGCTATACCAAACACATAGCACGTTAAGAATTTGAGGGACCCTGGAATCGGACTGCCAAATTCTTAAATTACTGCTTACACGTGACCCTGGAGACTTCGAAATTAGGCGGGCTCCGTAGTCCTCCTAGTCCTGGCTCTTTTCACTAATCCAATGCGTCATCCGGTGCTCGAGTGTATACCCGCACGAGCAGCAACCCACCCACCAAAGTAACCAGCAACCCAGGAACCAGCAAGAGAGCCAAGCAGCCAGCAGAGCACCCAGCAGCGCCCCAGGAGAAGCTCAGCACCAACAGCCGCAGCAGGAGGAGCAGGCAACCAGCACCCTCAACTCGCACCCTTCTCCGCCCGCCCGGGGGGCTACGATTAGCAATTACGAGCCCGGCGCTGCCCCATTAGAAGGGGGGCCAATAGTCTAGTGGAATGAGGCGTCAGCACCTTAACTTTAAGTATGACGAGCAGAGGCTCGATCCCGCCTGTGTCCCCTGGCTGTGCTTATTGTGCGTGCGCTCCCTTTGTTTGAACCATGGGGTTAGGGTTACACGCAGACACACGCACATACAGTGTATATGTATTTTCCAATGTGATACCATGGATGCGTCAACCAACACTCCAGTGGGTCCAATGGGTAATCAAAACGGACCTACCTACGTTCTCTCGCCGGGTGACCCGGATGCAGAGATCCTAGGCAAGGTGCCGTCGTGCAGTTCCCGGTCAGGTCAAAACTAACTCTCTTGCAACACACTGTGGCTCAGGTGTCCCGAGGTGGGAGGGCAGTGGTAGTGTGGCCGTTCCATCAGAGGCTTGGGAGCCTTGACATTGCTGCTGCTTGGAAAACTCAGCTGCGCTTGGTGGAGATCAGGTTGGGAACTGTGTGTGGTGCTACCACACTTACAATATATATATATATATACACATACATATATATATATACATATACACATACATATATATATATATACACACGTTCTGTTCAATGTACAATATTTCTTGGGGTCGTAACTTGTTTTCAATATATGAAAATGAAATTAAGTGAGGTCCTGGCGCGTTTTTGCGTTTTCCTGGCGCCGCGGCCCCGCTGCATGCAACCAAGGCCAAAAACCAGCGTAGCCGGAACAGCTACGCCGCAGGATTCCGGCCACGACAGAGACCAGCGCGGCCAAAACCCTGGTATAACGCGAAATCGCGCGTAGATCGTCGATCTACGCGCGTTTTTGCGTTTTCCTGGTGCCGCGGCCCCGCTGCAAGCAGCCAAGGCCAAAAAACCAGCGTAGCCGGAACAGCTACGCAGGATTCCGGCCACAACGGAGCCCAGCGCGGCCAAAACCCTGGTATAACTTTTGCATGAGCAGTCAAATCTGCCAACTCCACCTCGTTACCTTGTTTAATCTTGGTCCAAATTGTGAAGATGCCTGCAATACAGTACTAAGAATGCCTTAAGAATTTGAGGGACCCTCGGCCTGTTGTAGTGTAAATTTGCCTGTATTTAAAAATAAGAATTTGAGGGACCCTGGACCTCATGCTTTCGGATTCTTCACCAGCGCTCGGGCTGTAGGGGTAACTCCAAATCAGGGTCACCTTTGTAGAGTGCTCTGTATCCTTCGTCGCCTCGTACAGCTGCGAAACATCAACAGTTTTCCACCAAACAAAAATGGGATGGGCTATGGTGATTGAACCAAACCAAGTATGTATACGGTATATCGTAGGTGTGTTTTTGGATATTGACTATGAACCATGTAGAAAATTAAATGAGTTGGTTTGAAGGAACATATTTTGACCGGAGGTATCGCCAGTGATTTACCAGGCACATTCATTCGAGGTGCCTGCACATTCGTTACCTTAACCATTTCTTGGGACATGGTGGTTCATCATTCAAACATATTCAAAATAAATATTATTACACAATTTTCATGGATCATTGTGGTCCAATTGATTCGATCATTGCATCTACCCTGCGGTAGTCAAACACAGCAATGGGAAGTCCCTATAGAGGTTTTAAAGGGAAACTAATCATAACTAATATCTATAATCTATAATTAAAGATTTTCAGATGCCATGTTTGATTACCCAGGGGTAGCGCATGCTGTTTTAAAACATATTTATCTTCACGGACAATCGTGGGTCATCGTGACCAGGGGCCAGGGACATGGACAGATTGTGGGAATTATTCCAGCCGCTCGTTGGTCATTTTCATCTCTGAAAAAAGTTTTGCTGCCGGACCCAGGTAGGAGAATACCATATATAAAGAGTGCCAAAAAAAAAGTGTGGCAAATTTCTATCGTTCCCAAAACCGAACATAATCGATGGTGAGATTGGCTAGTGAGGTCGCTATGATCATCCCTCATACCATCCATGGGGAGGGTACCAGATAGCGCCCAGCACGCGCCAGGGCGGAAGTTTCGAAAGGCCTATAGGCCTATAGGAAAGTTTTTGACATGCTGAAACGATGAAGTGCTGAACTTGTGAGGTGCATCCACGAATGATGAAATGGTGGTTGAGATGCAACTGAAATCTGATAAAAAAATATGCACGTGACGGAAAAAAACAATAAATGAATATATGAACATTGAATCACTGAACTACTGAATCAATGAATCAACGAATCAATGAATCAATGAATCAATGAATCAGTGAACCAATGAAGCAGTAAATCAGCGAGTCAATGAATCAATGAGTCAGCAAATGAACGAATCAATGAAAATCAATGAAACCCGGACCCGGACATGAACGAATCAACAAATCAATGAACCAGGGAACCAAAAAATCAGATTGCGATGTTGTTGACATGATGGAAAAATGTAACTCGGAAGTTGTCTGACAAGACTTTTTTTGTGATTAAAACCGCCGAAGTAGTTTCCAATTTTGGTGGCGATAAATGCTGGTCAATACTGTATAATTATGTGTGTCAATCTGGATGCCCCGTGGTATCTTAACATGTCACTGGAAACTTTGAGAAGCTGGTGGATTTCCATTGCAAAGTGCGATTGCGCAAGAAAAATCAAAGAGATTCAAAGAGTATGGAAGGAAAGTCAATCAAGCAAATTCACCTGGTGGCGGCTCACATGTCACAGCTCTTGCTATGTGTATCAAATAGCAACCTGAGAAATCACCCCTGCTTCGTGACCTCCAGCGCCCGTTCCTTAAAAGATAAGGAGGATATCATCCCAACTAATCTCAAACATTTGTTTCAAAAAAGGGGAACACAACATTTGATGGCTTTTGATTGGAGTTGCTGGGTCCTCCCCCCGAGACTTCCCATCAATTCTTGGGGCTTCAATTTTTTTCCACCAGATGCCAGAAGCAGCAAGAAGAATCATCTGCCGGGGCGCGAGCTGTGTGGCTCAACACCTGGTAGGTGGTACCACGGTCAAAATGGGACATCGCTTGTAGCCGCGTCTTGGCGGTGTCCAGCGGGTGCCCGGCTAAAATACCTCGCACCAGGCAGGCGGGGCGGGGCACATCTTCTTTCGGTGGTCAGCAAATACCCTGCTTAAAAAATTGACTTGTAGCAATACTTAGCGAACATCATCCCGGCAAGAGACCCCGAGCAGTGTTGCAAAAACATGACAATACTGAGATACCAGGTTAGGTTCTGCAGTTTCCCTTTGTGAAGATCTCTGTAGAAGATCGTGTGGAAGATCTTCTTGACAGTTTCCGTGCAGAAACTGCTGTGAAAGATCCCTGCGTAACGCTATCTATACAAGGTGCCTACAAGAGATCTCCACAAGGGATCTCTGTAACAAATTCAACCCAAGATCTCTGTTCAAGCTCTCTATAAAAGATCTCTGGGCAAGATCTCCGTTCTCTTCATCAGGTCTCCGGAGACCTCTTTGCAAAATCTCTCTACAAGAATGTACAAGATCTCTAAAAAAGGTCTCTTGGCAAGATCTCCTGAGGAGATCTCTGTACAAGCTCTCTATAAGAGCTCTCTTGGCAAGATCTATGTAGGAGACCTCTTGGCAAGATCCCTGCAACAAATAATTATCTATGCCATGTCTCTGTGCAAGATCTCTATTATTACACTCTATAAGAGGTCTCGGTGGCAAGATCTCCGCGGAAGCTCTATATCGTCTAAGACCTCCTTGTCAAAATCTCTGCACAAGATCCGGTTGATTTTCAAAACGAGCATCGTGTGCCACAACGAGAGCAATTTGACAGACCCACATGCCAAGAGGGTTGCGCCAGCGATCTCAAAATGATCACTGCGCCACAATGAGAGCGATGGGACAGGCCCAAAGTGACGAGAGGGTTGCGCGAGAGGTCTCCGGGCCACTGTTTTGTGCGAGACTTCCTTCGAAAACAGAAGATGGAGGAGCTTTTGTGCTGTAAGGGTCACCAAGTTTGCCGGACACGGAGGGAGACCACCTCGAATGAACACCGGGCCTTAACTATTACCGTACGAACCCCATGTGGCCACACTGTTTGGGGAAAAAGAGCCACATGGCTGCTTAAAGACCCCCCAAACAAGGCCGGTTCTTCATTACAAATCATCCGACGAAGTTGGCAAACAATCACACATCATTTGCACAGAAGCCAAAACTGAAGTGCCAAGAAATAGAACATCTCAAGGCCTAACCATGACCGGTCTGACCAGCCCATGACCAACATCTCTGGTTTTTCCTCAGTCTTCCACAGGCGGCCCAGGTGCCGGTCATGCCACCCAGGGTTCCGCCGAAAAAGTCCCTGAGCGCCTCCGACATGGCTCTGCCCCCCACGGCACGTGAAGGCCGCGACGCATGGAAGGCTTGAGATCCAGGCGTCGAAGGACATGTTCCGTGGGGCTTTCACTGTTCAACAAACATAGCAAATGATATGCCAATGATAGGCCAGTCTTGAGTCATGGGAACATCATGTCTTGTACTGGGGATGCTTCATGGGATATATGTCTTCTATATATATATATAAATTACACCTATATAGCCAACATCATGAGGATTTCACCAAACCCACCAAGAGTGACCACCCAAATAATGTTTGAGTTTATTGCAGGGGTCACCCTTGGGGCCGGCTGCTTGGACCCCATGAAATGTGGTGTTTACCCCTTGGTTTGGGGGGATCAACTTTTCAGCTTCATTGATGTGTGCCATGTTTTTTGTGCGTTTCACCACCCAAACCTACATGACAAATGATGAAGGGGATGTATGGCCAAAATCATCTTGTTTTTTCCCCACCTGCCAGGTGAGGGTTGTCAGATTTTATGTCAGTTGCCTGCTCCTCCTCTCCTCTCCTCGTCTCCTCTCCTCCTCTCCTCTCCTCCTCCTCCTGCTCAACCGCGACCCTCGACGCACAGTGGTCTCTGTCGGACCTCAACCACGACCATCCACGCCCAGTGTTCCCTGCCGGACCTCAACCACGACCATCCACGCCCAGTGTTCCCTGCCGGACCTCAACCACGACCATCCCCGCCAGTGTTCCCTGCCGGACCTCACCACGACCATCCACGCCCAGTGTTCCCTGCCGGACCTCAACCGCGAGTATCCCCGCCCAGTGTTCCCTGCCGGACCTCAACCACGACCATCCACGCCCAGTGTTCCCTGCCGGACCTCAACCGCGAGTATCCACGCCAAAAGAAATGCCACATAGAGTGCCAGAAGATATGCCAGATAGAATGTTAGAAGATATGCCAGATAGAATGCCAGAAGGTATGCCAGATAGAATGCCAGATAGAATGTCAGATAGAATGCCAGAAGATATGCCAGATAAAGTGCCAGAATGTTTGGCAGATAGAATGCCAGCAGATTTGCCAGATAATATGCCAGAAGATATGCTAGATAGAATGCCAGATGGAATGCCAGAAGATTTGCCAGATAATATGCCAGAAGATATGCCAGATAGAATGCCAGATGGAATGCCAGAAGATATGCCAGAACATCTGCCAGAAGATATGCCAGAAGATATGCCATAACATCTGCCAGAAGATATGCCAGAACATCTGCCAGAAGATATGCCAGGTAGAATGCCAGAAGATATGCCAGATAGAATGCCAGATCGAATGCCAGAAAATATGTCAGATAGAATGCCAGAAGATTTGCCAGTAACAAAATGTATAAATGTCATGGTGGGGATCACACGAAGTAAAGTAATTCTTCTTTTCGTGATCGATAGGGGTGTTTAACTCATTATCCTGTGATTTTGAGGCTACTCAGTACTTTGGATGTTAAGTTCCCCATCTGGGCCTTACATCCCAGCCTGGGGATTGAGGGACCCCAGTGACTCGGATCTGTGGTCGTTTCTGGCACCTGGCAAGGTGGGCGCTGCCATGGCACCATCTGTTAGCAGCGCTGCCAGGGGAAATACACAGTTGCCTTGTGGAGTATCGAGTGATGCTCTGTGCTTGGTGGCTGTTTCTGTTTGAGAAGAAATAGTACCACTAGGGATGGAAAGCAACACCTGTGAGACCAGCAATCAGTCTCTCCAATCCAATGCCATTTGCCGGAAGGGTGATCTAATCAAACTGTTACGATGCGGGCTAAACTCGAGCCCAACTGGGCCACGGAATTCGTGGGGTGAATTGTGCACCCGAGGATGACCCTAACCTTAGGATGTCGTGCTATTGCTCTGCGTGATACGTTGAACAATCCCAGCAAATCTACAAATGTGTTGTTTATTCTTGCCTCTCTCTTTCTCTCTCTTAGTCTCCCTCTCACCATCGCACAAACATGTTACCCCTTATTTGCTGTAGTATCACCCATCAATGACGACCATGAATGATCATGAATGTCAGTGTTTGATAATACCGATCATTCTTGTCATTTTGTCTTCTGCAGGATTAATGCCTAATGCCGATCTAAGAAACAGTTAAAGTTCTGGTAGTTTGGATGATAAAAAAAACACTCATAGATTTCAGTCTATTGGATATACGTAAAGCAACCTCCGAAAAAAACGGCCATCTAGACATGTTTAGCAGGGAAATTCACCATCCCTAGCCCCCAAACAGCTCCTCCAATAATCCCGTCCCCCTTTTTTACTTGAGGCCGGGGGTGGACGACGAAAGCTAGCGGGGTAGGAGAAAGAAGGAAGGGAAGAGGTGAGTTGCGGAGGGACTGTCATCATCGTGTCGCGGCATTGTTCGTCCCAACGAGGATGCAACAATGATATATTGATATATGATATATAAAAATGATATATATGGGGGAGGGGGCAGGGGGGGCCCTTTCGCGGGAAAAATCACGTGATGTCCTTGGGGAGCCCCGGAATACGTGCTAAAGCAAGAAGACTCTAGCGAGCTGACGCTAGCTTTCGTGATAATGACAATGATTGCCAATAATGATAAAATGTAATTGAATAACGATGATGATGATGATGATGATGATGATGATGATGAATGATGAATGATGAATGATGAAGGATGAAGGATGAATGATGAATGATGAATGATGGATGATGATGATGATGATGATGACGACGGGGATGATGATGATGATGATGATGATGATGACGATGACGATGACGATGAATGACGATGACGAGGACGATGACGAGGACGACGATGATGATGATGATGATGATGATGATGATGATGATGATGACGAGGACGAGGACGAGGACGAGGACGATGGAATGGAGAGGACGATGACGATGATGATGACGATGATGATGACGATGATGATGATGATGATGATGGTGGTGATGGTGGTGATGGTGGTGGTGGTGGGTGAGGGTGGGGGGGGGTCCCCCCCTTTCGCGTGAAAAATCACGTGATGTCCTTGAGCAGCCCCCCCAATACTTGCTAAAGCAAGAAGACTCCAGCTAGCTGACGCTAGCTTTCGTGATTAAACATCCCCTTTGAAATTTGAAACCATGGTTTTGTAGTGAATTTCCACATAATTGGGACCATAGAAATGGGCGGTGTTTACTATTAAGGTGATGCGATTAGTTGTGGCAAGCCATTTCCCCAGATTTTTCTGGTGGCTCCAGCATAAGCTTCCGGGCTGCCCAGGGACATCGACTTGCCGGAAGGAAGCACAGTTTATGTCCTGAGAGGATTCAATACTCCCAGCCCCGTAATATCAAGCACCCCCTAAACGGTCCCAAATATGTGTAGATCCCGTACTAGACATTGGTAAAACAAGGTTTCTGGAGGGATGTTTAATATTAGGGGGAAGGGATGCATCAAACATCTGCTGTTTCAGCCAAAAACGAATAGCTCGTGGTTTGGGTTGATGGTTTGGATTCCTGATACCCCACCGTGATTTTATCACCTGATGAACTCCTGGAATTCCGACCAACCTCAAGCACGATTGATTATGCTTGGTGATTTCAACGTGTTTCAACCCCTTTGAAGAATTTAGTAGTCAATGATGATCATCCTGGCCAGTGGCTGAGTAACCAGCTAAGAAGGGATATCAATGGAAAACTAACAAGGGTTTCACATGTTTAAAGGACCAAAGATTGGAAAGTCAAACATCTAATGGATACCCAGGATGGTTTGCCAATATGCAGCTTGGTGATAACAAAGCTTTTGTAATCATTATCACATCCCATGTGTACATACAGTCTCTATATATACTGTGTACGTATACATGCCACATAGTGTAGTGTCTACTATAAACACATGAACTAAGAACCCTATGAACCATTGGATGTCCACCACCTAATATGAGTTGACAGTTGACAATGTCATTTGCTACAAATCCCAACCCGCCTATTTAGCGAACACGTCATCATCTATTGATCCAAGGCCTCCATGTCAACAAAGTGTGGCTGATTGTGGTCGGAACGATGACCACTGACCGGTCAATTAGCAGTATAATATATATATATATATTGGATAAGCAAATAAGCCAATCCTTCCATGAAGCAAATCCTTTGACTGGTCATATTGCAATGTTATTGTAATAACATATTATGTGACAAACTTGACAATATGTATGTATATTATAGAACATAGTCATATATGCTGTGTGGGATGAGTACTTGCAGAGTGCTTGTGATCCATTGACTGTGACTTGTTCTCATGGTCCTCTCCCACAGAACTGACACTACCACCATCACCAACATCGTCATCAATATCGGTCATTATCGTCACCATCATGGTGTTTGTTATATATATATATACGTATGTACACATACACCCTCCAGCAGTCAAATGATGTGGCAATGGGAAAGCACCCATCTATAGTTGATTTTCCGATTAAGCCTCTATTCATAGGGGATTTTCAACTGCCACGTTAGACTACCAAAAGTGTGTATCTCTCTCTCTCTCTCTTCTCTCTCTCTTCTCTCTCTCTCTCTCTCTCCAAAAAGTGGGTATATATATATATATCTCTCTCTCTCCTTTTTATTTATTTATATGTTTATTCAGTTTTATTCATCATTGCAGTGTCATGGTCATATCTATGTTCCGAACCCCTTTCCACCTCCGCCCTGCTTCGACACCTTTTCTTGGACGGGCTCCAATGCACACAAGACTTACGACCGGCTTACCGCAATGCAAAGAAATTCTGATGTTTCTTGCCGCTGCCTACTACAAATATCTATCTACCAGTAGTACCGCACAAGGCGGTGGCGGAAGTTTCAAAAATAGGAAACCTATAGGAGAGGTTGGTTGTTGTGAATCAGGGATGGCAGAGCGAATCCACTGATGGACCGAAAGGGGCTTGATCTCTCTCACTCTTTCTCTCTCTTTCTCTGCCTATCTACCTACCTACCTATCTATTTTCTATGTATCTATCCAGCTATCGATCTATCTATCTATCTC